AAACTCAATATATCAGGATCCTCTGTGAGCTGTATTATGGATTCACTACCAGGATCTCACCATTCTACAAGGAAGTGATCATCCATGTCAAGACAGGGGTTTGCACATGGGGATGCTGGACCGGCACTTCTGCCCCGGCTCCCAGTCAGCCCCTGATCATGGAAGTCACGCCCACAACCCGCCCCCAGTGCCATCTTTCAGCACAGCAGCGAAAAAAACTGGCTGGTGGGCTCCACAACTCCCAGAGAATTCTCCGAGCCCCATACTGAGCCAGTATCACTGGCAGGTCCCAGATAGGGGAGGTGAAGTCTCTCCACCTTCTCCAGGTGGAATCCTGGTGACCATGAGCTTCTACAAGCATGGCTTCAGTGTGCGGGCACCAGGACTATTCTTCCAAACCATGTGGCCGCATATGCAGCTGCACGACATTTCCTGATATACAAAGTGATCAGTGGAAATAAATGATCTAGCATCTGTCCCTGGAAAGCAGGCTTGAATGGTGATGAGAAAATATGAACAAAATATAATGGCCAACCGAAATGTATCTGGACTGTGCATTTAACTACGGTGCTATGCCGCTCTGGTAGGGAAAGGGTGTTTGTCCCTCCACTTGTCCCCCCTGCAGTGGTGGCATGGTGGCCTCCATCTTTCAGAGCCTAATGGACAGCCAGGTATGAGACTGCATTGATGAGACACGTGGGGGCTTCGTGGCATGGGGGGTGGAATCAGTCCTGCTCACAGCCCTGACAAGGTCCCGGGTTGCCACCTACAAATGCCTCCTCTGGCTCCTGAATGACCATGATCCCAGAGGCACACAAACCAATCTCAGAACCCAGGGGCTTTGGGCAGTAATCCCTCTAGGCTTATTACTAAAATATCAGAAATCCAAAATTGTGTGGCCACTCTTGCTGTCACACGACATCATATGTTCTTTATAATGAGCAGTAGAAAACAAATTATCTAATGATGTCTTTTTGGCAGGTCTGAATGTTGGGGAAAAATTCCAAATAATTATTTTGGGTCTTTTGTCATAATATTGAATGTGATCTACGTTGAGAGAGAGAGTAAAGTGGAAATCTGCCACACAGGCGGGGGAGAGGGAGGTGGCAAGGAAGGGGGTATACTGGGGTTCTTGGTGGTGGAAAATGTGCACTGGTGAAGGGACGGGTGTTTGATCATTGTATGATCGACCGAGACTTAAGCTGAAAGGCTTTGTAACTGTTCTCACGGTGAATCAATAAATAAAACTTTAGAGAGAGAGAGAGAGAAAGAGAGAGAGAGAGAGAGAGTGGGGTTAGGCAGGATGATACCATTTCACTGAAACACTTAAGTGCCACCCTCGAGAACATCATGCGACGACTGGAATGGGAAGGAATGGGAGTGAAGATAGACGGTTGGCAACACACCACCGCCACTTTGCTGATGACATCGTTCTAATAACACCAAACATTAGCCAAGCAGCACAAATGCTGGCCGACTTCAGCCGTGAGTGTGGAAAGGTCATACTACAGCTGAATCTCACGAAGACAGTGTCTATGACAAACAGTCTCGTTCCTGACATTCCATTCCCTCTCAACGGAACAAACATCTCCAAATGCAACAGTTATATGTACCTAGGTCAAGAAGTCAACATGACGAGCGACCTGGAGAGCAGCTTGGAACACCTTCAAGAGCGTCAAAGAAATAGCTAAGAGGATGAAGAACCTTCAGCTCCGGGCACATCTCTTCGATTCCACTGTTCTTCCTGCATTAACATATGCTTCAGAGATCTGGGCCCTACGCAAATAGGATGAGAACGCTATTCGGGTTTCCCAAAGAGGAATCGAAAGAGCTATGCTTGAAGTATCACGCTTCACTCAAATGAGAGAAAGAATCCGGAGTTCTGACCTCTGTCAACGATATAATCTCGGATGCTGTCTCGTTTGCCAAGGTGTCAAAAATCAGATGGGCTGCACACGTAATGAGATTTGGAGACAACCACTGGAATAGAGCCGTTACCAACTGGATTCCACGGGACGTCAAAAGATCGCCTTTTCGTCAAGGCCCTGAATGATCAGTTTGAGGCTCTTTGTGTTCCTGGAGCGAGCAGATGCCATTGGGCTACACTACCACGCGACAGGGACGAATGGAGACATTACTGCTGCCCGTTCGAGCAAATCAATGAGTAACAGGATGTCAAGTGATCAAGTGATGAAACAATCAAAAAAGCAGGGAAGGAAACCCTGGCATGAAATGGAGTTTCCTCGTTCAGTAAATCCAGAGGGAGCCCTTGTCAGATCCCAAGCACTGTGTTAAGACATTGGTGGTTACTGGCACAGTCTTGACCTTGCAGAGGAAACATCAGCCGGGGAGGCAGACGATAGGCAGCAAACCCAGCAGATAAGCATTTTATATACTGCAGGTATTGGTGGTGAGCGCTGTGAAACCCAGAAGGGCCAAGTCAGCACCTTACACACACACACACACACACACACACACACACACACACACACACACACACAGAGATGCAGCCTGGAGACAGTAGGTGCACACAAAGTGAAGTTACTTTCACTTTCAGATGCCTAACAATTCTCAGTCTGAGAGTTTGAACAGCTAAAGACTAAGTAAAGGTAACAGGATGAGATCACACTGTGGGCCTGGAGTGATAGCACAGTGGGTAGGGCGTTTGCTTTGCACACGGCCGACCCGGGTTCAATTCCCAGTATCCCATATAGTCCCTCAAGCACCCACCTCCAGTAGTAATTCCTGAGAACACTGCCAGGAGTAACCCCTGTGCCTTGCTGTGTGTGACCCAAAAAGCAAAAAAAGAAAATCACACTGTGATTTATAATTGAATTGCGGTAGTCAGTATTTACTTAACCATGTTGTACTGTAGCGCTGTCCTCCCATTGTTCATCGATTTGCTCGAGCGGGCCCAGTAACATCTCCATTGTGAGACTTGTTACTGTGTTTGACATGTCGACTATGTCACGGGTAGCTTGCCAGGCTTTGCCGTGCGGGTGAGATACTCTCAGTAGCTCAGTTCTTCCAGAGGGGCGGAGGAATCAAACCAGGGTCAGCCAGGTCGGGTCGCGTGCAAGGCAAACGCCCTACCCTCTGGGCTACCGCTCCAGCCTATTTACTAAACCAAGGAATGTAATTTATCATGAACTTCATCTTGGAAGTGCGTCCTAGCAGTGCTCAGGAGGCCTGCAGGACATTCCCAGTGATGCTCAGCCAGCCAAAATGGTAGTTCAGTGTGAGGGCTGAGGGTGCTGTGCTGCTGGGGGCCTGCGGTGTGGGAAACCACTAGGTCTCCAAGGCCACCTCTGGTCATGCTCCTGGTACTGGGGGTCAGGCCCAGGCTTGAGCACTGACCACTGTGACGTCTTATTGGTTCCTGGTGTTACTTTTTATTTCATGCAAATGTAAAGCAAACTCACAGCACCGGAAGGAAATAGAAGATGGTGTAAGTTACATCTGCCTGTGGATTCAGATCATAATGATGGGTATGGAGAGAGAGGACAGCGGGTAAAGTGCTTGACTTGCCAGCTCAGACCAGAATTCAATCTCCTACGTCTCATAGAGTCCCCCAAACACTGCCAGGACTGATCCCTGAGAACAGCCAGGAGTAAGCCCTAAGCACCACTGGGGTGTGGCCCCAAAACCACACAAAAAGAACATCATAAAGATGAAAGTGAATTTAAGAGTCCCTTTAAAAATCTTAATCTGGGTGGGACCACATGAGTACATGAAGATGAAAGAACTCACGCAACCGTAGCTTAAGAAGTGTATGTTTTTCAGAATGATCTCTCTTCTGTGGTATATTAAAAAAAAAAAAAGGCAAAGAAATAACAAATACCCAAAGGCAACAGAGCCTGAGAACAGGTCTACAAACTGAACCTACCAGGGTGGGGCCCGGAGGTGGGGATTGGTTGAGGTGAGGGCACACTGTTGGTGGGTGCGGTGCTGGAAGAACATAGAATGCATCAGATCCATCTGAACAGTATTATAAATCACGGTGCTTGAAAAAGGATGGGTCAGTTATAACATATTAAAATGGCACCTCATTAAACAAGGTGTGATTGCCACTGACCTTTAGTCTAGGTGCCTCGCATGCTGGTGTTTCTAGGTGCTCCGGAATATTGCTAAGAGGTGGCCCAGAGCCCGGGCACTGACGGGACAGAACCTCAGGATGATGAGAGGAATACGCCATGGATGCCTGCATGGTCAGAGACCCCAGGAAGTGGAAGACGAGCGTGGGTCAGCCGTGATGACTCTGCCTGGTTGTTGTCCATCCCTCTTCATGAGGATCCAGAGCTGAGGAAGGAACTGTAGACCTGCACAGGAAATAACCAGAGACAAGCTCTGGCAAGGCTGCCAGCCCACTGACCAGGCCTGCTCAGCCAAGAAGGCTCATCTAGCTGCTCTCTGGCCCCTGGGACAGGCAGCCGCAGGGCAGCAGGGTCATGGGAGAGTGTCCTGTTAGGTGGACAGTGGCCGTCTGCACTGTTTGGATGAGGACACAGGCAACCCCCAACACTCGTCTCTCCATCCCTATCCCTTGGTCTCAGAGTGAGTCCCAGTGACACGTCCATGTAAGGCAGGCTTCTGCACCAGAACGTGTGGGAGCTGACCCATCCACAAGGCCCGATTTTGAACCGTATTTTATGCTCACACCCCGAACCCTCGGGAGTTTGGGGAGCTTGTTTCTGCTAGAAAGTGACACCCCAGGACAGGAGAGACAGTGGGCTAGGTGCTTCCTACCAGGCAGCTGGCCTGGGTTTGATCCCTCGCACCACATATGGACCCATGAGCTCTTCCGGGAGTGACTGAACACGACCAGGTGTGCCCCCTCCCCCACACACACACCGCAAACTAAACAGCAACCCAGAAAGTCTTGCCACGCAACAGGCTCTTGAAACTCAGTTCAGAGGCTGAGGAGCAGAGCCAACTCCAGCTTGCAGACGCGGTGCTTGGCACCCTCCCGCCTCTCACCCAGTTGCTGCTTCTTTCCACAGGAGGCCGTGTCACACTGCCCAGAGGAAGGCCAACTGGCCAGAATCCAGAATGTTATCCAGAAGCTTCCCCCGTCCCATTATAGGTAAGAACCTTTGGTTTGTTGCAGTGTCTCCAGATGATGTCATGCCAAAGGCGAGCTGGCCTTGCAGAAAGGAGCGAATGGACCCCAGTGATAGTACAGCGTGTAGAATGCTTTACCTTGCAGAAAGCTCACCTGGGTCCAATGCCCAGGGCCCCTGTGGTCTCTTGAGTCTTTCCAGGAATGTTCTTAAGCACAGAGCCAAGAGTTAGCCATGAGCACTGCAGGGTTTGGCTCAAAAACAAACCAAAAAAAAAGGAGGGAGTTTCATAGAGACCTTCCCGGACCCCCCTGAGGCAGGCAAAGAGGCCCCTTTTCTCAGAACAAGTTGAGGCCTGACCTGTGACATGGGTGGGGAGGGGCCGCCCAGTCCAGGCTGCTCCCAGGTGCCCTGGTCACTGTGCTCATCACAGAGATCAGCCTGTCTGTGATACCCTGTCCCGCATCCGCCTTCCAGCACAGCCAGTCGTGTGACTGGGGCTCCATGACGGGACGTGCCTGGAGCGTGTGAGCATTTGGCTGACTCAGTGACTCGTCAGAAGCACCCTGACATCACGCCATCCTTTTACTTAATTTTCCCAACTTTGTTTTATCTCATTTTATTGCCTTTCCCAGAATTCCAGATGCCTGCCCATTATTCACAATGGGAAGAATTTGGCGTGCTATCAGAATGAACTTTCTGTTGACAGTCCATGTTATGCATCTGTGGAATGAACCCCCTTAGAGAAGGGATCACTAAGTCAGTGATGGTTGGAGGGATCTCTCGGGATGGGAGATGAGTGCTGAAAACAGATAAAGAACCAAAACTGATGGCCTCTCAGTGTCTGTATTGCAAACCATAGTGTCCAAAAGTAGAGAGAGGGTAAGAAGGAAATTGTCTGTCACAGAGACAGGGTGGGGGTTGGGTGGAGGTGGCAGGAGGGATACCGAGGACATTGGTGGTGGCAAGTGTACATTGGTGGAGGGATGGGTGTTCGATCATTTTATGACCGAAACTCAAACATGAAAGCTTTGTCACGGTATCTCACAGCGATTCAATTAAAAAGAAAAAAAAGAAAAAAAAAAAGAAATGAGCTTCCTAATAAGTGGCAGGGGTCATGGGGAGGAGGAGGATTTGGGGATTTGGGGCGGGGGCAGAGGAAGTGAAAACAAAGTAGAGGGTCAGGTTTGGGCCACACCCAGCAGTGCTCAGGGCTTGCTCCTGACTCTGTACTCAGGAATCACTCGAATGGGCTCAGGGGACCATATGGGATGCTGGGAGTTGAACTCAGGTCAGCCACGTGCAAGTCAAATGCTCTAACTGCTGTTCCATCACTCTGACCTCTGAAAAGATTCTTTTTTCAAGGAGCTGGCTTCAAGGGCTTTTGTTTTCTTCCCAGCCATGCTGAAGGCTATAGGGCCACCCAAGTAGTGTTTGGGAAGCCTTAAGATGCCAGGGATCTGATTCAAGGCCTAGCGTATGCCGAGCATGCACTGTCCCCTTCGTACTCCACCACTTTGATATTGTTTTCTAGAGGATGGGGGTTGGAACCACACCTGGCAGTGCTCACAGGCTATTTCCTCCTGGTGCTCAGAGGACCACATGAGGTGCTGAGAATGAACCAGGGTCAACTGTATGCAAGGCCAGCACCCTACCCCCTGTTCTAGCCCTTGACATACCTCCCCTCCTCACCCTTTGAGCGTCTTCCCAGCTGGTTTCAAGATACTATGAGGATATAGTTCTGCCAATGCGAAAGGAGGAACAGGTTGCAACGAAAACCCAAGGCTCTGGGTGTGGCGGTCACCCGCTTCTGACTCTAGCTCATCCTCCAGAGGCCTTAGCTGACTTCCAACAAGATTGTTCCCCTTCCCCACCCAGAGCCAGAATGCCTAAGGCCAAGAAAATTACTTCCATCAATCTTGGTATCTTCCTGACATTCCTCCAGAATTTATGAGATTGAAATATTTAGAGTCTTTTGAATCCAAATTTAGCAATTATCTCCAGATGTCCAGCTCCACAGGGGAACTGCAGTGTTTTACTCTGTTCAGATGCATATAAATATATGTCTATGAACTGTTCCAGGACCTTGGAATACCTGATTCGACACCTGGCCCACATCGCCTCCTTCAGCAGCAAGACCAACATGCACGCACGGAACCTGGCACTGGTGTGGGCCCCAAACCTCCTCAGGTAACCACCATCCCAGCGCGATGCCAAAGAACACTGGAGCCTGTGGACCATGGTAGAGTGTAGCAGTAGAACTTGCAGTGACTCTGGGTAGCCTGTACTCTGCCTGCTAACCTGGGGACCTCATTCCAAAGGTGTCAGAGATGTGATTAAAGATACGGGCTCTGTGAGTGATTATCTCCTGAAAAAAAGCCTTTCTTGTGTCTATGACTCATTGGCTTTGATGGGCTTGGTTTATAACCTGAATTAATGACTTCATAAATGCTTCCCTGCCCCATAGAATAATTGGATAAGGATAGGAGGGATATCCCCAAAGGATGGAGGTAAAGGTAAGGTAAAGGCCCTCCCGTTGATCGTCGATTTGCTCGAGCGGGCCCAGTAACGTCTCCATTGGAGACTTTGTTGTTACTGTGTTTGGCATATCGAATACTCTCGGTAGCTTGCCGGGCTCTCCGAGAGGGGCGGAGGAATCGAACTCGGGTCGGCCATGTTGGCCGCTTGTAAGGCGAACGCCCTACCTGAAAACTCAATTCCTGCATAGCCACTGATGTGTGTTTATAATCTTGCCGTCTGAGATACCTGGAAACTGTTTAAAATGTGTCCTGTCTGTTGGATTCCTGACCTTTGGAGAGTCCCTTAATTGGTCTTATAAAGTGAGAATAGTCCACTCATGACTCAATTTAGGCAGTTGGGAACTAGACTTATTTATAGCGCCCAGTGTTCTCACTGAATTCCCCACCACCCCTCGCTGAATGTGGATTTTTTCTTTCTTTTTCCACGATTCAGATCCAAAGAGATTGAAGCCACTGGTTGCAGTGGAGATGCGGCCTTCCTCGCTGTCCGGGTCCAGCAGGTGGTGATTGAGTTCATTTTGAACCACGTGGAGCAGATCTTCAATGGTGGTGCCCCCGCATCTCTGGGGAATGATGGTAAGGACTCCTCCTGCCATATCCTGATCAGCCAATTCTTCGTTTTCAGTCATGGGGTACAAGAATAAGTTGAGGTGGCCTGGCTCTAGCTCTGTGGGTGAGATGATTCTTGTGTGCTGACGTACAGGGATCATGCATATATACATTTGCAGTGCCCCTAAAAGGGATGTGTGTGTGTGTGTGTGTGTGTGTGTGTGTGTGTGTGTGTGTGTGTGTGAGACAGGGCGGGGAGAGTGGGTAGTATTGCACATGATTCAACATGTGTGGGGTCCATTGCTTATGTGACCAACTTACGAATGCCTGTGGCAAACTGGAATCACGTTTTCTAGGTTTTGGTGAGGGGTTCTTGTTGTTTATCTCAATAAATTTAATTACTCGAGTTTACATTTTCCTGAAACTTCAAAAGATGCTTATACCTTCACTCTAGAGGGTGTCCTTTGGGGAGGGGCATTCTCTGTTGTGCTGGGCTGAAAGCACTGCATTGTGGGGCCCAAACACTGAATTATCTTGTCCATTGGCTGAGTATTGCTAAGGGTGGATCCTCAGCCCCGTGAGCACGGCCTCAGTGGCCAGGAAAAAATGAGAAAAGATCATCCCTGAAGCCTTTATGATGACATAATGAACCCAAAGGATGGATTGTTTCCTGCTGCTCAAAGTCATGTGTGCCCAATGTAAAAGCCATAAATCTGTTTCATCAAAGAAGCTGGTAATGGCCTCTAGTGTGAGAGTGGGCCTCCAGTATCAGGTCCCATCAGCGTCACTGGGAAAGTCTGATTAACACACTTTGCTGGACAGCATCCCCAGAATTTCTCAGGGAGCCTGTGTGTCGTGCTGCTGGTAACTGATGTTTCTGCCAAGTTTCCTGCACACAACTGCTGCTCGGCACCACGCTGGAGACCCATTGGCGGCTGAGAATTACATCTGCAGAATACATGTTATCTGATCAAAGCATCGTTTTCTAATTTGGCTAATCGAATTGGAGGAATGGGGGAGAAATGACCAAGTATTTCATCACAATAATCAATTTCATTTTTTGCTCCCCTACCCTTTTCTCTCTCAGATTTTTTTTTTCTTTTTGGGTCACACTCCGTGATGCACAGGAGTTACTCCTGGCGGTGCTCGGGGGACATATGGGATGCTGGGAATAGAACCTGGGTCGGCCGGCCGCTTTCAAGGCAAACGCCCTACCCGCTTTGCTATTGCTCCAGCCCCTCTCTCAGATTTTTGTTTATGACCTTTCTTTAAAAAGCATTTTTATTGAAAGTCAGATAATATCTCAAAGGCCTGGAGTACTTGCTTTGCTCATGACGTGACCTGGGTTCCATCTCTGGCACCTCATGGACCACCAACTCTGTGAGCAGTCCCAAAGTTACTAGCTCCTGACAACACCTAGGTTGGCCTAAAAAACAGTGACAAAATTTCCAGAACATAAAGTTCATCATTTTAAAGGTAAAGGTAAAGGCCCTCCCGTTGATCGTCGATTTGCTCGAGCGGGCCCAGTAATGTCTCCATTGGAGACTTTGTTGTTACTGTGTCTGGCATATCGAATACTCTCGGTAGCTTGCCGGGCTCTCCGAGAGGGGCGGAGGAGTCGAACTCGGGTCGGCCATGTTGGCCGCTTGTAAGGCGAACGCCCTACCGCTGTGCTATCGCTCCGGTCATCATTTTAAAAATTTTAAAATACACAATTTGTTTATTTTTCTTTTAAATTTTCTTTTGGGGGCCACACCTGGCGATGCGTGGGGCTTACTCCTAACTCTGCACTCAGGGGCCACTCCCGATGGTGCTTGGGGGACCATATGGGATGGTCAAACGATGTTGGCCACGTGCAAGGCAGATGCCCTAACTGTTATACTATCTTTCCAGCTCTACTGTCCTATAGTCGTTCTCAACACCTAAAGGACACAATTTGGCAGTATTTCACATACTCATAAACTTTATAACCATCACCACTACCCATACCTATTGAACTGTCTCTCCAACCCCTATTTTTGTTTTGGGGAGGGGCTCATCCGCCTGTGCTCAGGACTTACTCCTGGCTCTGCACTCAAGTGCTACTCCTCAGAGTGCTCAGGAAACCATATGTGGTGCTGAGGATTGAACCCAAGGCTGGCCACATGCAAGGCAAGTGCCTTACCTGATACTATCTCTTCAGCCCTCTTCTGTTTTTTAACTCTCCCACTTAAATAGGTTTTGAATTGTAAGCCACAGTACATCCTCTCGTGACAGTAAGTGAGAAGTCACATGAATCCATGCATTCATCCTTTGGAGTCGGGCAGTAATTTTGGAGAGACTAATCCTTCGCCAGTAACTCCTGCAGGCACCCACACGCATTGCCTTTTGGACTTGCCAAAGCAACCACCACTGTTACCAACCTTACTTTTCACAGGAGAAATTAGAGGGCCTGAAAACTCACCACCCAAAGTCACGTGGCAGAACTGAATAGTGAGTTTAAACCTTTACTTAACTCTGGCTGGAAAAAAGTACAAGTAAACAATTAAGGAGAATTAGAGAAAAGACAGCAAATCCCACCCAAGGCAGTGCGTGTTGCTCCTCATTCTCCTGGGACCATGGCCTTAATCACCTGTTATTCCGCATTTTGAAATCCAAGTTTCTCCCGAGCTTTTAACTCATTGTTTTCATTCTTACTTTTTGGGGGGTGGGGAGAGAGGAGGGGTTCACCCCAGGACGTGGGCCCTGGAGGCCATTCCTAAAGCTACCAGGCTCAGCTCTGCTGGTCTGACAGTTTGGTTCTTGGCCCAGTAAGACACAGCTGTTCCGGCCTGGAGGTGCGAGGGTGCTGGGACCACCTCCCCTGCCCTTAAATACTTCCTAGTCAGTGCATTTCATTTAACTGTTTTTGTTGTGAATTCACTTTGACTGTGATAAAGTGCTACGCTTCATGTATATACCAAAAAAAATAAGCTATACTTTCTAGAACTGTAGATTTGAAAGAGGGTTCTATTTCAAACTGGAGAGCTTTTGCAAGGCATAGGGTTCAATGCCTTAATTGACAAAAACAAATAAGTAAAAGCTACATGAAGGCCAGAACGCTCTGGATATGGCCAAGACTGAGAGCACAAATAGGTACTCAGTGCCAGGTACCATCAGAGTCGCTCTGGGACACATCAAAAAAGGCAAAGGCCCTGCTCTGAAATCAAGACAGGCAAGAAGGAAGTTTACAGGTAAATAGTATCACTTCAAAGACAATAAATACTCCGAGGAAACTCCTGCAGGGTTACATGATGGTCAGTGACTTGAGGCTGTTTGGGGGAACAGGGTGACCCTTGTTTCTGAGGAAATATCTTTGAACAGAAAATTATCTTTGTCATTCCTTTTGAGTGACAAAAGGAAGTAGTCCTTTGATGTGTGTATGTGGAGGGAGGCATTTTCCAATGAGAAGAGCGAGAGTACAGTGCACGGTGGGAAGGAGCTCAGTGTGACAAAGAGTAGGTGTGTGGCCAGGTGCCCCAGTAGACATCAGAGATGAAAAGTCTGGAATCCAGTGCTGGAAGACATGAGAAGAATCTCATCCTCACCCCCACCGCCCTCTGTTTTTATTGTAGACTTTAGTTTCTGCGGTTTTGCATGTTTCCTATTAAGTATAATACAGACAGAGATATATATGTATAGTTTATAGCTGTGTGCGTATGTATTATGGGAGTCTACACTCAAAGCTTTGGGTGAGGTGGGGGCGGGGGGGGGAAGAACTGCTTGGGAGGCCCAAAAAACTGTCCCAGCAATGATTTAGTGCAAGGGCCCAAGGAAGCGGTCCTACTCAGGCCCTAAGTGTCCAGGATCAACCTGATCACCCCCAAAGTGCTCAGAATGCCCCAGAGATCTGCCTGGAAAAGCTCAGGGTGCTGACAGGAATTGAACTTGGATTGAACACCTGCACAAGAGAACGTACCTACCATACTGTCGGTCCTCATAGCTTTTTGCTATATATTCTTGTGAACTGACGGGTCCATCGACAAAGAGGAAGGGGAAGCAGATAGAAGCTCTGGTGGATTGTGCTGGGGGGAGGGTTTTGAGCAGGAATGAAGAAGCAGCAGAAAACCTTCAAGACAAGGAAAACAGCAGGTGGGAAACCACCGTGGCCTTTACCAGAGAAGGGGGGCAAAGTGGCCAAATTCAGTACGTTCTTGGAAGGGAGAATAGTAAGATTTGCTTAGGGGCTATTTTTAGTGTATGAGGTAGGTGGGTGTGGGGCGACAATCAGAGAAAGAAACGTGGATAATAACTACGCCACGTTTTGGCTTCCAGAGCTGGGTAATCTTAGCCCTGGTTCTACTTACTGATGTGGAGAAGAGGGGAGGAAGGCTGTTGGAGTTGAGAAGCAGAAGTCACTGTTCCGAAGAGTAAACTTGGAGACGCCTGTTGTGTGTCTAAGCAGAACTTGTGTAGGAGCCCGGAACCTGGAGCTCGGGGAAGCAGAAGGTGCCAGGCAATGTCCCCTGGCCCTGTTTGTTTGTTCTTCCCTTTGCACAAGTTGTTGCAGAGTGATTTGATCTTTAATATCTAAATGAACGAAATTGTCAGTGACCTAGAACCTTGTTCTAGTCATGGCTGCCTCTGAGCTTCTCTCCTTCCTGTGGCCCTGGTCCTACCCGCTCACCCCATAGACCCCTATTTACACAGTTTTCTCCTCTGGCTCCCTTGGAATGTTCTGGGGGCCCACCAGGAAGCATATAACCCCTGATTGAGAAGCACTGATCTAGAATCTTGAACAAATACTAAAAGCACATTACATTTACTTCCATTGGGCTTTAGCGATAGCATAGGAGGTAGGGTCCTAGCTTTGCACGCGGCTGGTCCAAGTTTGCTCCGGAACACATACGGTCCCCTGAGCCCCGCCAGGAATAATCCCTGGGCACAGAGCCAGCAGTAAGCCCTGAGCACCACCAGGTGGTTTGCCTTTTTAATTCAGTCAGAAGCTTTCCTGAGGGTGTCCGAGAGATAATCCAGGAGGTGTGGCTCTTGCATTGACTGCAGTGGCCACAATGTTGGGCCACTGAATTCTCAGCACTATGTAGGGTCTCTTAAGCTCCACCAAAGGTCATTCCTGAGCACAGAGCCAGGAATAGCCCCTGAGCACCACTGGGTGGGACTCCAAAACCCGAAGCAAACAAACAGAAACTGAGAAGTCCTCAGGATAGAGAGTTACTTCATCCTGACAGCTGTGCCATCCTCCTAGAAATACTCGTCACACATGCTCCCTTTTCTGCGGGTACCTTCTTCATTACTTTTATTCCCTCCCCATCCTCTGGAGAGGGTTATGCTCTGCAGATACAAATAGTCCTAGCAGTGTACCTTCTGAGAATTACGTGGGTCCTGTACAAAAATATGATGGCTTGGTTTCTACTTGATGCAAATTCTCCTTGGGTCCCTTCTCATCTTTGGAAGCTACAGAAAACTGTCAAGGCCTCCAAGACTAAACAGAGGCATGCATACATCTCTATTGTTTCCTTAGCCGGGGCTTTTCATTCTTTTTGTTTTTGGTTCTGGGCCACCCCCAGCTGTGCTTAGGCTTATTCTTGGCTCTATGCTCTTGGTGGGGCTTGGAGAACAAATGGGGCTTGAACCCCTTCTGGTCACATGCAAGGCAAACACCGGATCAGTTGTACTGTCTCTCCAGTCCCAGGGTTTTTTATTCTTTTTTCCCCCTGCTTTATTTAAACACCATGGTTTACACAGTTGTTCATGAGGATTTGTTCCGGGCATGCAGTATTCCAACCCAAATCCCACCACCACCGTCGCTTTCCCTTCACCATCGCCTCCATTTCCCAACTACCCCTCAAGCCTGCCCCTGTAGCAGGCCCACAATAGTTTATTTTATATTGCTTGTTGCCAATAAATAATAGAATGACCCAAAAATACTTCAATAAAAGAAAATTTGAAAATTATTGTATCTCATTATGGGGACATTTAGTCCTTGTCTGAGGGTTTACTAAACTGTTATTGCTAGTTAAGCCTACTGTGTTACTGTTTTTGTTAGTCAAGGTTAGGTGCTTCTGTGTTGCATTCTCATTCAATCGGATGTGCTCCTGCTGTGATGTTAGTATTATAGAGTTTGGAGATGTCACTCCAGAAAGTCCAGAATATTTAAGTAGGCAGTCCTGCTGGAGGCATGCCAGCAGCTTTGGGGCGTGACGGCTGAGGCTTCTGGAAGTTAGGTTGGTGGGGAGAGGGCGTCCATCCTGACTTCGAGAAGGCCTGAGATTTTCAGCCAAAACATTTTCAGCAGATTAGTTTCTCTGTGGAGCTCAGTCCTGAAGCAGTGGCGTCTGGCCGGAGGTGTGGTGGCAGCTTTAGGTTGTGGGAGGGAGCTTTCAGAGGTTCAGGGACTCTGATAGGGTGGGAGCTGCCCCTTCCACCACCACCCTCCCCCCATGGCCCTGGAAGTCTTAGTGGGAATGTTCGAGAAATTTTTGCAGCCTTGGGCTTTTCATCCATAACTCTAATTCAGCTTGATCACCAGGGCTTAGCTCTGCACAGTGCTCCTGAGGCTGTTGGTAGCATCCCTGCTCTCTCCCAGTAGATGCCATTGCCCCCTCATACACACTGGGACCACACACACGTCTCCAAAGATTGCTTGATGTCCCTGGCTGGTCGGGTGGAGGGGGGGTTGGGGGTTTGCAAGATGGTTTCATATTGTCTTGGAAAGAAGAGATAATCCTGGCTCTCTTGAGTCTGTCATCATTGCTCCCATTTCTTTACCCCCCCCACCCCCCGCCCAAAATAAGAAAGGATTAGCTTGTGTGCACTAGAAGATAACTGAGTGGTGAGTAAAAGGCCATTTATCTCTTAGGGCTAAGTACAGGCTGTAAAATGTCTTGACGGCAGAGACATAAGCCTGGATAATCTGGAGAAAGTACAGGCTCCAACTTTAAATTGCCTTGGGACATTTTCTCCAGCAGTCGAGGGGAAAGAGTCTCCTGCCCAGTCCCGGCTGGTGAGCCTCTGACTGAACCTACACTCCTGCCTGGCCGAGGTACTGGGCAGTTTCCAGGGTAAAGAGCGACCGCTATTATTTTACTGCACAGAAAGTGCTCAGTTAATGAATGAATGAATGAATGAATGAATGAATACTATCTCCCTGGAAAGTATAGGATGTGCTTGTCACCTCCTGAAACCCCCCATGTGTCTCTGGCTAGTCCGAGGGAAGAGGAGTGATGCTGAGGGGTTGTGTCTGTTTCCCAGATCCTACCCGACCCTAGAGAAGCCCCTGTCGGGAGGTTGGGGACCAAGGGCCTGTAGGAGGGGGTCCAGCTGGGCCTGGCGCACAGCCTCTTCCCGTGACTGAGTCCTTCTCTTTCCTTTGTAGAAAACCGGCCCATCATGAAGAGCCTGACCCTACCAGCCCTCTCCCTGCCCATGAAGCTGGTGAGCCTGGAGGAGGCGCAGGCCCGGAGCCTGGCGACCAACCACCCGGCCCGGAAGGAGAGGAGGGAGAACAGTCTGCCCGAGATTGTCCCTCCCACCGGAACCCTCTTCCACACCGTCCTGGAGTTGCCAGAGAGCAAGTAAGGCGTCTGCTTCCAAGGCTCGGGGTGCAAGGATGGAGGAGGGGTAGCCTCAGGACCGTGATGGCAGCAGACGTCGAAGTGTGGTCTAGGCAGGGGTGGAAGGGAATATTCCAGAAGTGATGGGAATGTCGCCACAATGGCTTCTGTCCAGCAGTAAGCCCACTGCCTCCAAATGATCAAGAATTACCCCTGCCCCACCCCCTGTCTCCCACTGGAGATCCCTGATTCCATGATGGGACCCCAGTCACGATTTAGACTCAGTCAAAACAGCCTTGGCGCTGTCCTGCTTCCTTCTCACAGTGCTCACACTCAAACCTAGAGCTCACTTGGGCAAGAGGCAGCACTGAGTCGGGTCCCTGGCCCAAGCTTCAAAAAGAAGCTCACTGAAAAAAGAAAAATACAACAAATAAAACGATCCCTTGGCCTCCCCAGCCTCCACCTTCGTTTATGTCCCCAGGGCACCGGCTGAAGCTTGACAGGCCCGGCAGAGCAGCCGGCCTTGGGGAGGGGACACGCCACCCAAGCCCTCCTCCCCCACACAATGCCAGCACTATCTCCATTCATGGGCTGCTGTCTTTCCTCGTTTCTCCCACCTGTGTCCTCTGCGACCCTTTCTCCATGCAGCCCCTTTGTCTCTCCTCCTCACGCCCCTCTGGGAACAAAGGGGCAGTAGTCGAAGTGGGAACTCTAAATTCTAGACGGTTTACAGGTGGAGGGGACGAAAGGCATGATAAATATATAAGTGTAAACATATATGAACATATATACACATTACATATTACATATAATTATATGTAATTATATATCATATGTAATACAATCACTGTCCTCCCGTTGTTCATCAATTTGCTTGAGCAGGCCCAGTAACATTGTGAGACTTGTTGTTACTGTGTTTGGCATATCGAATATGCCACAGGTAGCTTGCTGGGCTCTCCGAGAGGGGCGGAGGAATCGAACTCGGGTCGGCCATGTTGGCTGCGTGCAAGGCAAATGCCCTACCGCTGTGCTATCGCTCCAGCCCATGTAATGTAATATATACACAATCACATATGATATAGTATGTATATTTTATGTGTATGTGATATATGTATGTACATATATATGCATATATATGCTTCATAATATGATAGCATCAGACTGACGGTGCCACTGCACCACACCTGCTACCAGAGTACCACAAGGACTGTGGTACTCCCTCCCCTAGCTGGGTCCCTCCTCACCCTCCTTGGCAACATTGGCAAGCCTAGCTCTGCAGTGCAGATCCTGGGGGTTGTTTTGTTGGCCCTTTTCTATTACTGCACTGAAAGGCGTCTTTGCATTAGCACACCCTCTGCTCCGCTCCGTTCGGCAGGGAAAGGGCTGAGGAACAGACTCCTCAGCCTTCTTGTCCCTGCCAGTCCCTCTCTGGGGAGGGCAGTAGAGTGAGGCCACATTCCACACTGGTGAGGACATCTGTCAGCGGACACCAAGGGACACCAGTATAGCTGGAATTCACCTGGCGAAGGGGCTTTCAGTTTCCTGGAGGGTGCAGACGTGTTCACTGAAGTCAGCCCCTGTGATCCTTTCCCAAAACCCCAGGGAGTCCCACTTCCCCCGGGGATCAAGGGAAAGGAACTCGGGTGGTTTTTCTGTTTTTGTTGTGTTCTTGTTTGTTTCTGGCTTTTTTTGGGTTTTGTGATTGGCTACTCCCAGCTCAGTGTTAGTGAGACTACCCCATCTCTAGGTAGAAGCCCTGCCCCGTGTGGTGGGCTGCGTCCAGGTAGTCTAGACCATGCAGTGCCAGGGGTCAAACCCAGAGATCCAGCAGTGCAAAGCGTGTTCTCCAGCCCACTGAGCTATCTTCCCAACCTGAGGAAGAAGAGTATTTTGAACTCTTCAAGTGCAATTCCTCAGCGCCCTCCACCATATCCAAGGAGCACCATACATTATGCCACCCTGTAAAGTATATGTCAAGTGTTGGAAAAGTTCAGGTCAGATCCCCAGGAAGCCACAGAGCATGGAGGATATCTCTGTGGTTGGTTGTAAAAACAGGCTAGAGGCTGTTCTCTGAAAATCCTGCAGACATAAGACCCTTTGCCGGATCCCCAAGTTGCAGGACTTTGTGCTAGAGCTTGAAGGCTGGTGGCCTGGGGCAGAGCCACATGAGGGTAAAGCCTGGATGGTGACCCCTAGTGGTGCCTGGTTTCTCCAGACCCTGTCAAACTTGTCATCCGGGCCTGAGCAGCCTGGCTGCCAAGACACTAGTCTCCCCAACGTTTCCCGCCACTCACCACTGATCATATGCTTCCAGCTCACACAGCCAGAACTGTTTCCAAATTGCTTTCTCATTCCTTTTCAGTTCAAGAAAATCCCCATTAGCCTTTTTCCTCCCTGAAGTGTTTGATTGAAGTGCACTCAGCCTAACAGAACCGAAGTTTTCAATACTTGTTCCTGTAATATTGTATGTTTTTGAAAACCCAGAACCACAGAATTCCTATCACTGTGTGGCCGCCTCCCACCCATCCCTGCTGGGGTAGCTCTCTCTGTCTCCTCCTTGGGGAATGGTCCTTTGCTCTGATGCATGGAAACTCGGCTTGCTCACCTAGGGCAGCCCTGGGCTGGGGAGAGTTAGAGTCCACTTGGATTTTCAGGAGAGTGTCCTGAAGTATCAGAACTGATCATATGGAGAACATGGTTGGAGGATTCCTTCACAGCTGTAAAGCCCATTGGAAAGAAGACATAGACTAAATCCTCCTGGCCTTTTTTTTTTCCCCTAGAAGAAAGCTCTCCAGCAAATCAAAGAAATGGAAATCAATATTTAACCTGGGACGTTCCGGAGGCTCAGACTCCAAATCAAAGCTGAGCAGAAATGGGAGTGTGTTTGTCAGAGGACAGAGGCTTGCAGGTAACGTTCAACAGCAGTTAGGTCTTTTGAGATGCAGATATATTCCTCCCCTAGCTCTACTTCTCTTTTATTTTGGGGCAGTGGACGATTTGTGGTGCACACTGATTTTATTTAAGGCTTATTTCAGGCTCTGTGCTCAGGGATCACTCTTGTAGGTGCTAGGGAGATCATGTGCAAATTTGAGTGGAGTTGCCAACATGTAAGGCAAATGCCTTAACCTCCTACTATCTCTTGCTCACCTCCTCCCCCAATGCTTTTCTTTTGCTCAGAGATTTTTTTAAAAGGATAGAAGGCTGTCCTCAAAGCCATGGAGTAATCCTCCTGGTACTTATCTCGGCTATTCTTGGGTGTTAGTCTCCTATTTTGTTACTTTATGTTCCCCAGATGAATGCAATCTTTCTATGTCTGTCCCTTTCTTTCTGACTTATTTCGCTTGATACTTTTCATGATACTTTTCATGTAGTACCACTTGTATATGGATTTCATGACTTTATCTTTTCTAACAGCTGCATAGTACTCCATTGTGCAGATGTACCAAAGTTTCTTTAACCAGTCATCTGTTCTCGGACACTCAGGTTTTTTCCAGATTCTAGCGATTATAAAGAGTGCTGCAATGAACAAACAGGTGCAGATGTCACTTCGACTATACTTTTTTGCCTCTCTGGGATATATTCCCAGGAGTGGTATTACTCCATGGCTTTGAGGACAGCCACACACGCTAGGGGAAAAGGCAGCTCAGATAGAGAAGGAAGCACCAAATAAAGGGTGTTGGGAGGTTCCTCTCAGGATGGGAAATGCGTGATGAGAGTAGACTATAGACCGAACAAGATTGCCACTCAATGTCTCTTTTGCAAACCACAGCACTCAAACGGAGAGAGATAACAAAAGGGAATGCCCTGCCACAGAGGTAGGGTGGGATGGGGGGTGGGGGGTGGGAGGGATACTGGGACTGGTGGTGGTGGAGAATGGGCATTCGATCATTGTATAACTGAAACCCAAGCACAAATGTTTGTAAGTCTACAACTGTACCTCATGGTGTTTCACTAATAAAAATTTAAGGAAAAAAAATTTTTAAAAAAAGGATAGAAGGCAGGGGAAAGGGCAGAAAAAAATGGAAAGGGACTCCTAAGCAGGACTCCTTGAGCTCTACATTTTGTCTCATGAAAAGGGAAACTTTCACATTAACTGGATAGTCTTTTTTTTTGTAATTTCAGATTTACCAAAAAAAATATTGCAACAATAGTACACAGAGAAGCTTATACCTTCACACAGCTAACAATTGTTAACAATTATATTTAATTGTTACATCTTACAAAACCATAGGAAATTGTTATAGCTATAATGCAAGGAAATTATTCACTGATCTTGTCCATAATTGACCACTGGTGTCCTCTGGTTTGGTCTCCATTCCAGAAACTCACATCATTGTAGTTGTCATCCCTCCCTAACCTTTCGGCTAGGATAGTTCCTTAGTCTTCCTCATGCTGATGCTCTAGAAGAGTACAGGCCATTGATCTTGTAGGATACACCCGTTTGGGTTTGTTTATCTACATTTTCTCAAGACCACACTCTCATGAGGTGATGAAGATTGTACCTGGTACAGTTTTTCAAGTGAGGCATTAAAATATCAGTATAATATTGCTAGTGATGTTAACTAAGATCACTTGGTTAAAATGCCATCTACAAATTGAGAGCCCTGCAGAATCACTAGGCTTTCCGGCAGTGAGTATCTTGCAAGATATTTGGAGGATATGCATCTATCCTGTTTCTCATCAGACTTTGCTCCACTACCTTAGCACCTGTCAGTGGTCAGTGCAACCGTTGTTACTGTGCAGTTTACCAAAGGTTCATTTTCTGCTTCCATCATTCTTCCTGCTCCTAGTTACTTATCACCACTGTAAGGAAGATCTGTTTCTTCTTCCTCAGGACCAGGTGCATACATTGGAAACAGGCCTGCTATCCTGTGGGAATTACATGAGTAATAACTAAGAATTGATGAAGGAAGGGGTTAAAGAAACTACTATAGCACTGTCTCCCGTTGTTCATCGATTTGCGTGAGCAGGCCCAGTAATGTCTCCATTGTGAGACTTGTTACTGTGTTTGGCATATTGACTACGTCATGGGTAGCTTGCCAGGCTCTGCCGTGCAGGCGAGATACTCTCGGTAGCTTGCTGGGCTCTCCGAGAGGGGCGGAGGAATCGAACTCGGGTCGCCCGGGTCGGCTGTGTGCAAGGCAAATGCCCTACCCACTGTGCTAACACTCCAACCCAAGGAAACTACTATACAGTGGGGAATATAACCAGTTAAGCTAAGTATTGTGTAATAAAGGGAAAAATCAAAGAAATTTGCCACAATGACCCTAGTGTTAAAGATTAGTATGATTTTTTTACATGGGACAACAATTGTTTTTAAAAATATGTCGATAAAGATAAACGTGCAAATCTAGTGAGCAAATCTTGATTATATCCTACTCTGGGAAAAGGGGGCATAGAAAGGAGAACCTGAGGAAAGATGAATTGGATGCTGATACTAAGGAATTGTGTATTTTCATAGTGGCCTAAAGATGCTTAAATGTGCCTAAATCCTTAAATTCTTAAATATGCTAAAGTCAAGATGTTTAAGGATGAGGGCTGTAGCAAAAGTAAAGCAGGTAAGATGCTTCCTTGCACGAAGCCAGCCTAGGTTTGATCCCAGGTATCTCAAATGGTCCCCTGAGCACCTCCAGGAGTGATTCCTGCGTTTGAGCCATGAGTATGAGTATGAGCCATGAGCCAGGGGATGGCCCAGCAGTTCTGTACACGGAGAAGCATCTGTATATGGAGGAGCAGCATAATATTAAAACTAACTTTCTGGTGACTTCGTGAAATATAGATAAGTGGATAGGATAGATAGCTGCCGCCAAATCACGACAGCATGTCAACCTTGGTGGTGGTTTTAGAAGTCTTCAACTTTTCTGAATGTTTGAAAGTTTTAATAATAAATATTTGCAGAGGGCAATTAGTACTGATAGGGAAAAGAAGAGATTTTGTTTGTTTGGGGTCCACACCAGTAATACTCAGGACTCGGCTCAGTGATCACTCCTACTGGTGCTCAGGGGAATAATACGCGGTGCCAGGGATTGAACTGAGGTCAGCTGCATACGAAGCATGCACCTAAACCCCTGTGCAAGCTCTCTGGCCAGGAAAGAGATGATATTTTCAAGGCTTTTCCTCAGAAAATGATAACTATGTAAAGGATCATAAAACATAGACATTAGAAATCTTCATATTTGTCTGTTGAAATACTAAGAGATGTCAAAGAATATACTCTAATGATGACCCAGGCTACTATAAATAATAGCAAATCCAACTGGACTGACTTACACAACAAAGGAACTTGCTGACCCCTATAACACGTCCAGGTGTAGGAGAAGCCTTGGGGCAGTTTCATACTCTGGCTCTGGCTCCAGGTTGTCCTCAGTTGTGCTAATTTTTTGAATGAGTTTTATTCTCAGACTAGCTTCCTTTGCTCTGACAAAAGGGCCTCAGACTTTATAAACCAGTTCTAGACTTTAACTTTGACTATACTCTGTCCAGAAGAAGAAAGAGTGTCATTACTGATAGGAGCAAGAACTCTTCTTTCTAGAAGACCCCAGCAAATTCCACTGTTGTCTCCATAGCCTTGACCAAATCACATGGATAAATTATATGGCCAAGGGAGTGTCCTGTAGTGATTAGGGTTTTTTTTTTTTTTTGAAATTCTGAATTTATGGCTGATGTGAGCAATAGGATGACTGTCAGGTACATGCAAGAAGTACAACAGGGTCTCTGAGAAGGGGAAGGGACGAGATTCTGAGTAAGCATCTGAAATATTCACAATGTGAGGAAACACGTCTTCACACACTAGAGGAATAGCCCAGGAGAAGAGACCAGATCACACAGGTTTGATAGGTCAGACGTAAATCAGAAATGCCAGATCCTCAGAGGAGGACGTGAGGATAAGGCATACCTGGCAAGAAAGTCCTGATCTTAAAAAGAAGAAAGAAAGAAACTCCTGGCCTAATACCTAAGATATTTGCTCAACAGATCAAAGAGAGACTATCAGATAAAGAATCAGTGATACCATGGAAAATTGCACTGGTAATGAAAGGCAAGACTGTAATAAACAAACAAAAGAGAATAAGTGAAAGAGATGACTGGCCTTGGTTTTGACAGATTTCCACCCCCGGAGGGTTTTCTAAGTGAGGATCAAACAGTGCCTGTGAGCACACAGACTGTACAGCTTGTCCCTGGCCATGTCACAGCACAGACCCCTTGTGCACACACCCACACGGTGCTTGGCACCCACCCTGCTTTGCATCAAGTCTGTGCGGATGACGGCATACTGGAAACTTTTTAAAAAAACTCCCCAGGTGGGGCTGGAGCAATAGCACAGTGGGTAGGGCATTTGCTTTGCACGCGGCAGACCTGGGTTCGATTCCCAGCATCCCATATGGTCCCCTGAGCACCGCCAGGAGAAATTCCTGAGTGCAGAGCCAGGAATAACCCCTGTGCATTGTCACACAAAAAAACAAAAAACAAAAAAAGTGCCCAGCCCAAGATGTCCAGCCCAAGAGAAAAAAAAACCGCTACTTAGGAGCAAAACCAGTCCGAGAGTGAGCCCAGATGGAATGAATTTTGCTGGGATGCTGGGGTGACATGAGACAACCATCAGTATCAATACAAGTAGCTCTCTATGACCTTGACTTTTGGTTAAGAGACCACTTTCACCACAGAGGGCTATTGGAACACCAGACACTAAAGGTGGGGTGATGCATGGTAGAGAGTGGGGTGATATGATCTTAACTCTAGTGGAATCAGTAAGGTTAACTGTGGACCAATGTAGCATCACATGTGGCCAGGGGATAGCTCTTTGCTGAAATATGTATGTGAACAAAAAGGGGATTCAGTAAGTTAATGTACTGAACAATTGTTTCAAAACCTGTTTGGGAGCCAGAGAGATAATATAACGGGTAGGGCATTTGCCTTGCACAAGTCTGACCGAGGTCCCATCCCCAGCACCCCAGAAGGTCTCCCAAGCATTGCCAGGTGTGATTCCTGAGCACTGAGCAAAGAAAAAGCCCTGAGCATTGCTGGGTATGGCCCCCAAACAAACAAACAAACAACTTCTTTTAGAAAAAAAAATTCTAGAGATAACTGGCAGGGCCACATGCTGACAGGGCCACATGTGTTGGTTGCTTCACATGCAAAAGGCCAGGTTCTGTTGTCAGCTCTGCACAGCCAGGAGCTATCCCAATCACAGAGCTGGAGTAGTCCTGAGCACTGCCAGGCGTGGCCCCCAAACAAATAAGAAATTCTGTAATTAAGTGCATTTAAAAAATTGATTCACCACAAGTAGCTTTGAGAAATTTTGGGGGAAGGGTGAGAGGGGAGCAGAGGAAGGGGTATTGAACTGGATTTTTTTTTCTTTTTGGGTCACACCCGGCGATGCTCAGGGGTTGCTCTTGGCTCTGCACTCAGGAATTACTCCTGGCAGTGTTTGGGGGACCATATAGGATGCTGAAGATCAAACCTGGGTCAGGCGTGTGGAAAGCAAACGCCCTACCTGCTGTACTATCATTCCGGCCCCTTGAACTGTATTTTGAAAATAAATAAGAAACAAAGGATAGAAAGGACCAGGTCGTGACTAAGTAAAAGTGCAAAGGCTCAGACTCACAGACACCCGTGCACTGAAATTTGCACGGCATCTAATAGGAGAGTCCAGGAAACTCTCCCAAATGGACTCCTTTGGGGGCGGGGGAGAATCCAAAGCCATTCAGTAGTCTAAGAGAGGATTGAGGGGATGACTCAGAGACTGAAGTGCATGCTGGAGGCCTGGGTTCGAGCCCAGGCGTTTCTTGTTCCCCTAGCTTCCTAGTTCCCAGTTCCCCCACTTCGGACGGCCCCTGTGCACCGCTGGTTGTGACTCCAAGACCTAAGCAAAGGGCTCAAAGGCCTCCAAAGGTGAGAGCAGGATCCCAACAGAAAATTGTCTTCACCATAGGCCTGGGTCAGAAAAACCTTGCTCCCTTGCTTATTTTACAGAAAAGGAACTGGGAGACCCTGGGGGACTGTTCCCAAAGGCCTAGCTCTGAGGTGCTGTTGTGGTCACAGTGGCCTCGAGGAGCTGCATCAGGGATGGTCCAACACCCAGCAGCAAAGGCGAGCACCAAGGCCCAGCAGTAGGTGTGTTACCATCCCCCTGTTAACACGAACAGCCTCACTCGCTGTCGCCACACCAAAGATTTCAAAGTGCGGTTCCCGGAGAAGAACGGCCATGGCTTATCTCAGGGTGCACAAGTGAAGAGGTGCCGGGCCAGGCAGCGTAAGGATAGTATATCAGTTGTAAATGCGTCGAAGTGGCAGGTCTTCAAAGGCGAGGAATTCCGCTTGCTAAGAGGAGGACTTTGACTGTGAGTGTGGAAAGGTAGGACTACAGCTGAATCTTACGAAGACAATGTTTATGAGAAACAGCCTCGTTCCTGACGCCCCATTCGCTCTCAATGGAACGACCATCTCCGAATGCAACAGCTATGTGTACCTAGGTCGAGAGGTCAACATGACAAATGACCTGGCACCCGAGCTGCGCAGGAGGAAGAGAGCAGCTTGGAACGCCTTCAAGAACGTCGAAGAAATAGCTAAGAGGACGAAGAACCTCCGGCTCCGGGCACATCTCTTTGATTCCACTGTTCTTCCTGCATTAACATATGCCTCAGAGACCTGGGCCCTGCGCAAACAAGATGAGAACGCTATTCAGGTCTCCCAAAGAAGAATAGAAAGAGCTCTGCTTGGAATATCACGTTTCACTCAAATGAGAGAAAGAATCCGGAGTTCTGACATCTGTCGACGATCAAGAATCAGGGACGCTGTCTCATTTGCCAAGGTGTCAAAAATCAGATTGGCTGGTCACGTAATGATATTTAAAGACGACCGCTGGACTAGAGCTGTTACTGACTGGATTCCACGGGATGTCAAAAGACAGCGTGGCCGCCCACCTACCAGATGGTCAGACTTCTTCGTGAAGATCATGAACGATCGGTTTGAGGCCCTTCATGTTCCTGGAGCGAACAGATGCCATTGGGCTACACTAGCACGCGACAGGGACAAATGGAGGTGTTACTGGCGCCCGCTCAGCAAATCGACGACTAACAGGAAGTTAAGTGATTAAGTGAAGAGGAGGAAGTGGTGGAAGGCCTCGTATGCCCAGTATGGCACGGGGATGGCAGTTCCAGCAGAGTCATGCAGGCCCTGATTGGTTGGGGGAAACCTCACAGCCTCTTAGAAGTTGGGTTTATCACTCCATTTCTCAGAAGGGTAAGAAAAATCTGAGATACAGAACAAAGGTTAAGGCATTTGCCTTGAATCCTGCCAGCTCTGGTTTGATTTCCAGCAGCACAAGTGGCTTTCCAGGGGCCACTCCTAAGTAGAGTCAGGAATAACCCCTTAGCATCAGTGTGTGTGGCCCAACCTTCCACCCCCCCATCCCCCTGCCAGGGGGAACTTTATTTATTTGAGTCTTGGGACCATACGGAGCGGTTCTCAAGAATGATAGTACAGAGGGTAGGGCATTTGCCTTGCGTGTGGCTGACCCGGGTTCGATTCCCAGCATCCCATATGGTCCCCTGAGCACCGCCAGGAGTAATTCCTGAGTGCAAAGCCAGGAGTAACCCCTGTCTGTGCATTGCCAGGTGTGACCCCCCCCCCCAAAAAAAAAAAAAAGATTTACTTCCAGCTCTGCTCTGCACACAGGGATTATTCCTGGAAGTACTTGGAGCACTATCTCGTGTCTGGGGGGCCAGGGCTCCCAGGCCAGCCATGTGCAAGGCAAGTGTCTTTCATGCTGTACTATCTCTCTGGTACCAAGAAAGACCTTTAAAAGAGACATAACAAAAAAGAGTAGAGCCCAATCCGGGTCGGGGCCTGCAGAGCGCTTCCTGAAGTACTGTCTCCCGGGCACCCCCTCTTTACGGTACTTGCCCCAATAACTACCAGCAATACTTACTTTCTGTTGAGAATCTATAGAATAAACAGTTCTCGGTTAGTAAAACCCTTTTCCTCTGCATTGAGCACATTGAGGTATAGTCTTTATACCATCTCTATCACGCCTTCTTTGAAACCAGGACAGCTAAAGTTTAAAAAGTTTGAAGTCACACTGTGATCACAGGGTGGTGGGTTGGGGTTCAGATCCAGGCCTGTCCCATTCCAGAGTCATCTCTTCTGTTAGCGGGGCCAGGAGAATACACCCAGCGGTGTTCAGGGAGCTACTCCCAACTTAGTGCTCTGGCATCGCTGCCATTGTACTCAATGCAGTGCTAGAGACTCCAGAATCTTCTTGAGGACTGTGAGTCTTGGACTCCCACTCAATGCCCACATTGCCTTGTTTCCCCTACTAGCAAACTTGATCTGAAAGCGAAGGTTCCAGACCTCCAGTTCTGTGTCTCTGGAGAAACAGGCACTTACATGAGATTGAAACTCTTCTGTCTGACCAGGTGTGTTGGGGATGGGGCTGGTGCTCAAATTCAAGGAGACAGCACAGGAGAGTCCTAATGATGGGCTCCCAAGCACAGGTTGGAGAATGCCTATGTTAGTTTCGGAGTCCTACCTGTGCTGCTCAGGACTACTCCCTGCTCAGTGCTCGAGGGTCCATGACATACAAAGATGCACTCCAGCCCTTTGAGCTCTCCCCTCAGAACCCAGGGAAGGATTTTTTATTCTTTTTGGGTCACACCCGGCGATGCACAGGGGTTACTCCTGGCTCTGCACTCAGGGATTATTCCTGACAGGGCTCAGGGGACCATATGGGATGCTGGGAATAGAACTTGGGTTGGCCGGGTGCGAGGCAAACTCCCTACCCGCTGTGCTATCACTCCAGCACCCCCCCCCACCCCGGGAAGAATTTTAAGAGGTGAAAGGATGAGAAGAATATCACAGAGGCTTGTGGCAGTGGGGAGGACAGGGAGGTGGATGCCGGGCATGCTGTCATGTGTCATGAACACACCACATCCGCACTCCGGTTGGAGAAGGTGCCTCGTGCTGTTCCTCGATGAAATGGCTTTGACTTACTTGAATTACACTCTTCCCCACAAAGCGCTGAAATGGCTTCCGAAGAGGGAAAGCGTTCATCAGACCCAAGGCCACAGGGTGCGCCAAGAAATCGTGGCTTTGGCCTGACCTCCCTGGGATGGGATTGGTGGGTGAGAGTGCTGAGCAGGATAACAGCCTGCAGTCCTCGGAGCAGAAATGCAGCAGGGAGAGAAATGATTGCAGGCGGGGAGAGGGGGCTGGGGCTCTCACCAGTTTTACCCAGTTCCTGCCGCTGAGAGATGTAGCTGCAGCAGAGAATCCTGTTTGCTGACCTGCCAAGTAGGAGGGGTTTCCTAGAGCTCCAAGAATTCATCATTAAATCCAGTATGAACAATAAAATCAGTCTCAGGATGACTCATTTGCTGTTGGTAATTTGATGGAAGAACTTACCTTTTTCTGAAAAATATTAAAACCTCAGTTTACAAAAGCACCACACACACACACGCGCGCGCGCACGCACGCACACACAGAGTTCTGAAAATAATTTTTCACTCAGGACCAAACCCAGGGCCTCATGCATGCAAGGCATGAACTATACCACTGAGCCCAATCCTTGACCACAGAGAATACCCTGTTTTCATAAGGTCAGTCCCATCAAGAAAATGAAACATGAAGGGTGGAGTAGGGGAATATTTTCCAAAGTGGAAATTTTTAAAAAGAGAAAAACACTTTGCTAAAAACCTTTTCTTATCTACTTAAAGCTTGACCTGTTGCTCTGAGTGCTTCCGGAATATGTTTTCACCGGTAACCTTTTTCCTTTTGTCTTTAGTGGAAAAGGCCACCATCCGACCTGCTAAGAGTATGGACTCGCTGTGCTCCGTTCCCGTGGAAGGTGAGAGTTTATGATTCTGTTTGCAACGGGGACTCACCATGGAGACTGGAGCTTGAACCCCAGATTTTCCTTCCTAAGTTGCTGCTCATCATCACACACTGTCCCCCCACCCCTTTTCAGTCTTCCCTGCCCCTTCCTGAGTGCAAGGGGCCCACTGACCCTTTCTTCAACCTCCCCTACTCTGCTCCAGAGCGAGACTTAAAGAATGCCCTCTTTGCCCGTCTGGCTCCAGCCAGAAGTACTTTCCCTATGAGTTTATTTTCTTTCTTTCTTTTTTTTTTTTTTTTTTTTTTTTTGCTTTTTGGGTCACACCCGGCGATGCACAGGGGTTACTCCTGGCTCTGCACTCAGGAATTACGCCTGGCGGTGCTCAGGGGACCATATGGGATGCTGGGAATCGAACTCGGGTCGGCCGTGTGCAAGGCAAACGCCCTACCCGCTGTGCTATCACTCCAGCCCCTCCCTGTGAGTTTAAACCAGGCAGGTCAGCAGCTATAAACCCAGGCCTGCGGACATCAAGAAGAGCCCAGTACTCTTTCTACCTGAGGGTGTTGACGCTCAGATACTCGTGTTTCGAACTTGGGTGCCTCCATCAGTCTTTTTCCAAGGTGCTTATTGAGTCATGACTTTGAGTGGAAACTAGGTCTCCTGTGTGGCCCAACTGAATGCACAGGGTGTGAGGGGGACGCTAACTGCCAACATGGCATCTCATCGGCTTACTCTTCCAGCGCCAGCTCTGTCCTCAGGGCCAGTGGCCTGCACCTATCTCTCCAGTTTTTGTGAGGCATACAGCATGCACTGTCACTTTTTTTTTCTTTTTGGGTCACACCTGGTGATGCACAGGGATTACTCCTGGCTTTGCACTCAGGAATTATATCCCTGGCAGTGCTCAGGGAGCCCGGGTCAGCCGCGGGCAAGGCAAACGCCTTACCCACTGTGCTATCGCTCCAGCTCCTGAGTTTGAAAATTTTTAAATAAAACAAGATTGTGTTATTTTTGTATGCCACCCCCCCCACCCACCTCTCCTTTTTCTTGTCTTCTTTTTTGTGAAGCAACATTCCTCTCCCTCTCCCATGCCTGTGGTAGGTGCCCCTCAACCTTGCCCTTCCCTTAGAGCTGTCCTGCCTGCCACATGTGACTGGGTCCTTGAGACCCAGCGGAAAGTGGAGCCACCATAGGGGAAAAGGCAGCTCAGATAGACAAGGAAGCACCAAGTAAAGGGTGTTGGGAGGATCCTCCCAGGATGGGAGAAACATGCTGAAAGTAGACTATAGACTGAACACGATTGCCACTCAATGCCTCTTTTGCAAACCACAGCACCCAAAAGGAGAGAGGGAACAAAAGGGAATGCCCTGCCACAGAGGCAGGGTGGAATGGGGGTTGGGGTGTGGGGTGTGGGAAGTATACTGGGATCCGTGGTGGTGGAAAATGGGCACTGGTGGAGGGATGGGTACTCAAACATTGTATAATTGAAACCCAAGCACGATAATTTGTAAGTCTGCAACTGTACCTCATAGTGTTTCACTAATAAAAATTTTAAAAAAAGAAAATAAGAAAAAAAGAGAAAAAAAGAAAGTGGAGCCACCAGGCCACATTGCGTTTGGGTCACCTGAGAAGGTGCTTCCTTATTATCGATCCAGAGTCGCACAGTCCTGTGACCTTCCGAGGATGGCCGTGGCCTGTTTGAGTACTGGTCCTCTCTGCCTCTTAAATGCCCTGTGTCCGCAGTGTGTGTACAGGCGGCTGAGCACGTGTTTGTTTGCTTGCTCACTAGGGAAAGAAACCAAAGGAAATTTCAACCGAACAGTCGCCACTGGTGGATTTTTCATTCCGGCCACAAAAATGCACTCCACTAGCACCGGAAGCTCCTGTGACCTCAGCAAGCAGGAGGGCGACTGGGGTCAGGAGGGGATGCCTGCAGGGGCAGAGGGGGGCTTTGACATGAGCAGCGACCGCAGCCAACTCCAGGGCGTGCAGGTCCGCCCTCCGCCCGAGCAGCTGAAGGTTTTCCGACCCATCGAGGATCCCGAGATCGAGCAGACAGCCCCGAAGATGCTCGGAATGTTCTATACGTCCAGCGACAGCCCCAGCAAGTCTGTGTTCAGCGGCAGCCTGTTCCAGGTGGAGCCCTCGCCCCGGCACCAGCGCAAGGCCCTAAACATCTCCGAGCCCTTCGCCGTGTCCGTGCCACTCCGCGTGTCCGCTGTCATCAGCACCAACAGCACCCCCTGCAGAACACCCCCAAAGGAGCTGCAGTCTCTGTCCAGCCTGGAGGAATTTTCTTTCCAGGGTTCAGAGAGTGGAGGTTGGCCTGAAGAGGAGAAGCCACTGGGATCTGAGAATGCGGCAGGTAATTTAGGGAAGAGAGGTTTTCTCCACTGCCTGTCACTGTCACTGTCACTGTCCTCCCGTTGTTCATCGATTTGCTCGAGCGGGCCCAGTAACGTCTCCATTGGAGACTTTTGTTGTTACTGTGTTTGGCATAACGAATACGTCACGGGTGGCTTGCCAGGCTCTGCCGTGCGGGCGAGATACTCTCGGCAGCTTGCTGGGCTCTCCGAGAGGGGCAGAGGAATCGAACTCAGGTCAGCCACGTTGGCTGCGTGCAAGGCAAACGCCCTACCGCTGTGCTATCACTCCAGCAAAGGATAAAAACCAAACTTGGGGCTGGAGCGATAGCACAGTGGGTAGGGTGTTTGCCTTGCACGTGGCTGATCCAGGTTCAATTCCCAGCATTCCATATGGTCCCCTGAGTACCGCCAGGAGTAACTTCTGAGTGCAGAGCCAGGAGTAACCCCTGTACATTGCCGGGTGTGACCCAAAAAGAAAGAAAAAAAATTGCTGAAAACCACTGCAGAACAGTGGAGGGAAGTGGTGAAGATTTTGGGACTTTGGGGTCTGAGAGAGAGGACAGTGGTAAGGCACTTGCAGTGCATGCAGCTGGCCTCAGATAATTCCCCGAGTACTGCCTGAGGTAACTTCTGAGAACGGAGCCAGGAATAACCTCCAAGTACTGCTGGATGCACCCCTAAAATTCCAAAACAAAGAAACGGGGGGGAAAATGGGCTCTGGAGCGAGGCTGCCTGGATACGAGTCCAGGCTCGGCCATTTCACTATTCAGATAGTCCTTGGCAAGTTAATGTAACAGCTCCTGTATGTCTCAGCTTCTTAATCTGTAAAATGGGAGTGATGTGATTAACCATACTTTTCTTTGTACATCTTTTTTTGTGGATATTAAATTAGTTCACCGTGAAAAACTCTTAGAACTATCTAAGATGTAATAAGTATTCAGACCTTGTTATCTGTTATTATTTTATTCACTCACATTGTGAGAAGGCAGAGGCTGTCATCTGTTTCCAGACTAGAAGAATTTTTATCTCAATAGAATGGAATGCAGAGCGAAGAGTGAAACTGGGCAAGTCAGCTTTTCTAGACTCGACCTCTCTTCATTCATCCGTCCTTCATTTTTACTTTCTATATGAACACAACATGGCTAGCAGTCCTAGCAATGAACGATAAAATTCTCTCCCAGTATCCTTATGCCGAACTTAAGAGAGGCCCTCTGATTGGACTTTCTTAGGTAGTGTTCAGCCCATCACTGCATCTAGGTTAGGAGGATTCTAAGATTGACCAGCCTTGATTCTCTGGGCTATCTCTGGAGTCAGAATGGGTTCAGTTATCAACAGCCAATCATGAACCACTTAAAAATGAATGAAAGGGGAAGGGACCAGAGCCATTATACAGTGAGTACGACGCTTGTCTTGCACACCAGGCGTAACCCTCACCACTGCGGGGTGTGACCAAAAATCAAATCAAAACCTGAAGTAGAGAAAACTCAAAAAAGAGTGTCTTACAGAAAAGCCAACAAATGCCCATTATATTTTAAGAGTATTTCTATTATTAGTATTAACTGATGTGGGGAGAAGCACTTTTTATAGTGTCAAGCATAGTCCTGTTTTGCATGTCTATCCCGCTTCTCCCAACAACCCATGAGCAACAGATAATTATAATTGTCCCCATTTGACACAAAAACAATTGAAGTGCCCTGTGACTCATGAAAAGTGGAAAAAATATGATTTTAGTTCAGATTTTTATTTGTTTGGGGGCCACTCCCGGAGGAGTTCAGGGGTTACTCCTGGCTCTGTGATCAGAAATCAATCCAGGTGGGTCTCCAGGGACCCTAACGGGTTCCAGAGATCTAACCGGGGTCAGCTGAGGGCAAGAAAAACACACTATGTGCTGCACTATTGCTTTGGCCCGTAATCCATATTTTTAAAATATTTGTGCTTTTAAGCTCCCATCCCACCGTGCTCTGTGAGGTGTTTACAGTGGGCTTGGGTTTATAATGAGTTTGCAGGACATTTGGAGAGTTTGAATCCCAGCTGAACTGTTTCAGATCCTTGCTTCCCCAGTTTGTCAGTGTGGCAGTTGGTTGCTGTCTCTGAGTCCGGTTTTCATCTGCAAAGCAGGGGTGGTTCCTCTTTCATGGGCTTGGGTGAGGCCTAAAAGGATGCATGTTTATAAAATCAAGGAGTTTATTTCCATACTATACAGCCTTCCAGGAGTAGGTGGGTTGTACCAGGAGATCCTTTGGAGTTCAGGTTCCTTAACCATCTCTGGGTTGTTGTCTTTCTTTGCCTGCCAAATTGGGTTCCACGGCCCCACACCCACATTCCCGCCTGTTGTCAGGGGCCTGGGGAAACAGTCAAGGAGTTTCCACTTAAGGATGAACCCAGAAGTTGCACCCTCCCTTCACTTCTGCTTCCACCCCCACCCAACAAAATTTCTACAGCCGTAACTATCTTCAAGAGAAATTGAATGTTGTCATTAGCTATGCACCTTCCTAAAACCTGGGAGAGAGTAAAGGTTCTATTTCTAACTAAGAAGCAAATGAATATTAGGAGATAGTTAGCTGCCTTTTGTTTCAGGCCACCCATTCTGCCCGTGGCGTCATTAAATTTGCGAGCTTGATCACGTCCGTTCGATTTGAGCTCAAGCACCTTTCATAGTTCAGCAGTGGCCAGTCATTATGCCAACAGAATTCACTGACCTCCAACCAAAGCAATGAAAAGTACACATCATATGTTATATTTTGTGTAATCACTGTATCACTGTCATCTCGTTGCTCATCGATTTGCTTGAGCAGGCACCAGTAACATCTCCACTCGTCACTGTCGGGTGCTAGTGTAGCCCGTTGGCATATTGGGAACTCTTTCAGGGTCAGGGGAATGAGGACCGTCGTTGTTACTGTTTTTGGCATATCGAGTACGCCACGGGTAGCTTGCCAGGCTCTGCCGTTGGGAGGGATACCCTCAGTAACTTGCCAGGTTCTCCGAGAGGGTTGGAAGCCTTTGGAGCGGCCTCTAATCACCTTTACAGGTGTTCCCAGTCAGGAATATATATGTACATATATATACTTTTTTTTCTCTATGATTTGTTGCCTGCTGTCTGAACCCCATCAGATATGGTGTGGTAATTATGGAAAATGAGTAGGGAGTGTCTTACGATATGTCCAGGAATACGTTCACTCATGTGTGAGATTCGGCCCAACCATGTGGAAAGCGGCCTGTAGCGTAGTGGTGGTTGGGCTGTGGAGGTCAGCTGCCGGGGCTGGATCCCTTGTATAATAAAAATTTTTTGTAATAAAAGTAAGAAAAAAATATATATATATATACACAATATAAATTGGGCTGGAGCGATAGCACAGCAGTAGGGCGTTCGCCTTACAAGCGGCCAACATGGCCGACCCGAGTTCAATTCCTCCACCCCTCTCGGAGAGCCCGGCAAGCTACCGAGAGTATTCGATATGCCAGACACAGTAACAACAAAGTCTCCAATGGAGAAGTTACTGGGCCCACTCGAGCAAATCGATGATCAACGGGAGGGCCTTTACCTTTACCTTACAATATAAACTATGCTTATGGGCTGGAGAGATAGTACAGAGGTTAAGGTGCTTGCCTTACGTTCTGCCAGCCCTGTTTTGATCCCTGCCACTCTGTGTGGTCCCCCAAGCACCACCAGGGGTCACTCCTGAGTACAGAGCCAGGAATAATTCCTCAGCACACAAACTAAATAAGTCTCTGTTTATCTTACAAAAATAGACTAAGACAGACTAAGTTATTAATTACTAATAATAACAATGGTCTTTATTAAGACCACGGGGGATGTGGGGTAAAGGCTAAGCAACAGAGATACAAACAAAACTTTTTATATCTTTTGAACGTTCGTACTCCATAAATATTTTATGTATGTAAAAAATAATTGAAATTTTAAAAATAAGGCTGTTAAGAAGTGGGAAAAGAAAAATCAGATCGATTTCCTTTCTGAACTGTTACGAGTTGAGCCATCACTGAGCTTCACTGAGTTTCAAGGTGATACACCTTGAATTAAGACACTGACATAACCAGTGGCAATGAATAGAACTGATTTTTAGGTGATAAAACTTGAACACATGGGGCTGGCGCCATAGCACAGCAGGTAGGGCGTTTGCCTGGCACACGGCCGACCTGAGTTCGATCCCAGCATCCCATATGGTCCCCTGAGCACTGCCAGGAGTAACTTCTGAGTGCAGAGCCAGGAATAACCCCTGTGCATTGCTGGGTGTGACCCAGAAAGAAAAAAAAAAAACTTGAACACAAAACTTTGCGTTGTATGTCAAGCACTGGTACAAGGTGCTGTAACTCCATTGTCTCTGTAATTTCATCTTCAAAGTTGTAATTTTCATCAACTTTGCACTAAGCACTGTTTATATAAATCTTTATTCTTTATCGTAAAAAAAAAAGTCTTACATGATGCAAGAGAACCATGTTCAAAGTCAAAATTGAGGGTGATCTGCATCTTCCCTACCTGAGTAGATAAGCTTAAGATCAAAGTCTAATCATTTTATATATATCTAAATTGATGTGCTGATCATCCTTGGAAGAATCACACACAAAGTTATTGATGACTATCATAGTACGTTTTTGTCACTTAGTGTAAATAATAAATTTTCAGAACTCAACGCAAAAAGCTTTACTTCTTTGGGTCTGAATTTACTTATCTGTGAAGTGAAAGATTTGATTAGAATATGGGGTGTTTTTTAAAGTTTTTTTTCAACCTCAGCACTACTGAAATTATAGCCTGAGTAGTTCTTTGTTGTGGGGATGTCCTGTGCTTTGAAGGATATTTATTTATTTGCTTTTTGGGTCATAGGGGTTACTCCTGGCTGTGCACTCAGGAATCACTCGTGGCAGTGCTCAGGGGACCATTTGGGATGCTGGGGATCGAACCTGGGTCGGCCGTGTGCAAGGCAAACACCCTACCCACTGTGCTATCGCTCCAGCCCCTTTGTAGGACATTTAGAGGCATCACTCGCTCTTCCCAGTAGATGCCAGAAACCAGCATACACACACACACACACACACACACACACACGCGCGCGCGCGCGTGTGCCTCCTTATGACAACCAAAAATGTCTCCAGACATTGCCAGATGTTTAGACATTGTCTAATGTCCCCTACCAAAAGAGAAAGTTCCCCCACTGAGAATTGTTGAAGTAGGTGATTTTCAAAGCCTGGGCATTGCTAGGAGAAAAGGTCAAGAATGAGAAAGCAGTGAGCCAGAATTCCTCCATCCTTTGGAGACAGGACCAGTCCGAGTCTTTTTTGTGTCCAATTTCTCCGACTAGAATTCCCAAAGCAGTGTTGAACAATAGGAGTGACAGTGGGTGTCCTTGTCTTGTTTCCAGTCTTACGGCAGAGATACACTTTCAGATTTTTATCATCAACTATGATATTAGCTATGCGTTGGTCGATATAACCTTTCTTATGCTGTAGTATATTCCTTCTGTTTTTAATTCATTGAGTATCTTTTTATTTTATCACAGATGTATGTTGAATGTCTGGTGTCATTTGACTGTCAGATATTTTTTCAACATCTCTGATTGCTAATATATTATCATAAGTCTTTCTTTTTGTTAATTTGGTATATGATATTAGTTGGGTTCCATATGTTGACTCACCCTTGCATCCCTGGGTGAGTTCCACTGGGTCCTGTTAGAGGATTCTCTTAATGTGTTGTGGATTTTGCTGAACGTTTCTGCACGTATTTTGATCAGAGATACGGGTTTTCTTATTTTTGTGCTGCCGTTTTCTGGTTTTAACAGATAGTGGCCTTAACAGATAGATATATTTGGGACTATTTACCCCTCTTCAACTTTTGGGAAGAGTTTCAGCAGAATAGCCATTAATTATTCTTTAAAAGTTTTGTCCTTGCACTGATGAAACCATCTGATCTCGGGTCTTTGTTCTTAGCAACCTTTGATTGCTGTTTTGATTTCTGTGCTTGTGTTTAGTCTGTTCAAGTTCTCTGACTCTTCCTGGTTCAGGTTTTAAAGGCTACATGATTTTTTTTTTTAGTATACATGATTTTAGTATTACAATTTTTTGAAAAAAAACAAAATGTAACATTCTAAAAAAAACCCAAATTTACTATCATCCTAATTCCTGCAAATTTGCTGTGCTATTTCTAATATACATGACAAGGTAAAGGTAAAGGTAAAGGCCCTCCCGTTGATCGTCGATTTGCTTGAGCGGGCCCAGTAACGTCTCCATTGGAGACTTTGTTGTTACTGTGTTTGGCATATCGAATACTCTTGGTAGCTTGCCGGGCTCTCCGAGAGGGGCGGAGGAATCGAACTCGGGTCGGCCATGTTGGCCACTTGTAAGGCGAACGCCCTACTGCTGTGCTATCGCTCCAGCCCCATGACATGACAAGAAATTAAAGAAACCATTAAATATTTAGAAACATTCAGAAGCTTTACACGGCTTTATCCGATTTAAAATCTGTATAGTAGCCTTTCAAAGAGCTACACCCTGAATTTTTTAAAAAAGTATTTTCTCTACAAAAACTTTATCAGCTATACAAAAATCTCTTCAGTTTTTAGATTGACGATAATACTGAGCTGCCCTTGAATTCACATTCTTAGCAAATGAGTTGCCTAAGCACACACACATACTCCATGCCATTACAGAACAGCCATGTGTTCTTCATCTTCCTCCTCATCCTCTTCCTCATTTCCTGGTTCATCCTTTTTTTGGGGGGGGCCTGTTGTGCTGGGGCCCATCTTTTCTACTTGACTTTTGCCCTTGGCATAGTATACAGCAATATCCTTTTCACATTTTTTCCCTTAGCTTTGCCACTCTTTGTTCATAGGGTTGTTTATCCTTGGCTGATTGTTCAGACCACATCTCCCCCGGTCCTCTGGCAGTATCTCCAATGGACAGGCCAAGGTGTTTGCTCCTTATCTTGGGGCGATCTTCAGAACAGAACAGGAAAAAGACAGATAGGGGCCTTTTGGACACATTGGGATCTTCTTGTCTTTCTCATCCACTTTGATGAGCATGTGATTCTTCACCTCCAATTCATAGCCGGCCTTGTTACTTTTGACCATATCTTCAAATTTCGACTTCTCCTTTATAGTCTAACATCTCTCCAAGCATTTCTTGGATAATTCGGCAAGGTTGACCATCAAGTCAAAGTACTGCTGCTTGTGCTCTTCCCAGCCCATCTGCACAAGGAAGGTGTACGAGGACATTTGGCCCTTCACCTCGATGGGGTCTCCTTTGCCATGATGATGTCTCCCTGGCTTAGAGAAAGCTGGTAGGTGGGGATAGGTGCTGCCCTGGTGGGCCAAGGTTGCTTGATTCTAAAAATTTGCCTATTGATGCCTTTGCTTATTCTAGCATCAATTTGTTATTTTCTAATTTTATCTTATTGGGCTGGAGCGATAGCACAGCCGGTAGGGCGTCTGCCTTACATGCGGCCAACATGGCCGACCCGAGTTCGATTCCTCCGCCCCTCTCGGAGAGCCCGGCAAGCTACCGAGAGTATTCGATATGCCAAACACAGTAACAACAAAGTCTCCAATGGAGACGTTACTGGGCCCGCTCGAGCAAATCGACGATCAACGGGAGGGCCTTTACCTTTACCTTTACCTAATTTTGTTTTGTTTGAGGTCACACTTGGTGGTGCTCAAGGATCACTCCTGGGTGATCATATAGGGTGCTAGGGATTGAACCAAAGACAAACACATGCCAAGGGAGGCACCCTACCCAGCCCCTAAGTTTGTCCATTTCTTTAAGGTTGTCCAGTTTATGGAGCATGAGTGATAGTACAGCAGGGAGGGCATTTGTCTTTCACTCGGCCAACCAGGGTTCAGTCCCTGGCATCCCACATGGTCCCCTGAGCATCACTGGATGTGACCTAAACACACACACACACACACACACACACACACACACACACAGTTGCCCAGTTTGCTGACATCTAAAAAATATATAGATGATTTTAACAGTCTCTTATGATCTTGTTTGTATTTCTGCAGAATCAGTTATAACTTTGTTTGCCTTATTCGTTTTGGAATTTTACCAGGGTTTTCTCTGTTTGTCTTGGTGAGACTCGTGAAATGTTTATCAGCTTTGTTGATTGTTTGAAGAATTAGTTCTTGGGTTCACTGATCCTCTTTATCATCATTTTGGCTTCTATTTATTTCCAACCTAATTTTTATCATTTCCTTCCTTCTGTTGGCTTTTGATTCTGCTTTTTCCTCCTGTTCTAGTTCCTTCAGGTGGAAGATTAGATTATCTAAGAATTTTCATTGGTTTGTTTTGTTCTGTGGGGAGGGAGGGAGTGGGGTGGGGAGCACCTAGCAGTGCTCGGGGGCTACTCCTGGCTCTTATTTTCGGTGCTCCTCCAAAAATGTTGCTAGGGAACCTTTGTTGTCCTGGGGATCAAACCTAGACTTCTGCATGCAGAGCGTGTGTAACTCCCATTGTATAACTCTCCAGGCAATTTGAGACTTTTCTGGTTTCCTGATGTTGGCCTGGATTGCGATGAACTCCCTTCTTTATGCTGTTTTGCTGTGTGTCAGAGAATCTAATAGCTCTTTTCATTTTCTCATCGCACTCCATGTCAATTTTTATTTTTCCTTGAACTTCTTTGTGGAGGGAAGGGCTCTTGTATCGAAGTGTCCTTCAGCTGGTAACTCTCATCCTCACTGCAGCTCCTGTGCCAAAGAAGGCAGCTCCCGAGGAAGCCAAGCCAGTATCAGAGGCTGCAAAGACAGTGGAGGGCAGCAAAAGTCTTTCCCTGGAGCTGAGCCCCCAACAAGAGGAGAAGAAAACTTCAGAAATCTGCCAGGACTCTCACCATCCAAGTGAATCAGAGAAGAAGCTGGATCTGGAGAAGGCGGAGGAGGGAGGAGAGGCAGCCCAGGAGGAGTCGGGCGTGCTGCAGGAGGGCCCTGGGAATGCGAATGCTGGAGCGAGATTTCTCCAGGAGACGGTATGGTGGATTCACTGCCCGGCCCAGCCAGCTCATCATTTTTCTTAAGGGCTCTTTGTACAGCTTAAACTGGCTTTTGTTTTTTGTCTATTTCCTTTGCAGTATGCGTGTGCGTGTGCGTATGCATGTGTGCGAGTGTGCATGCATGTGTGTGTGTGTGTGTGTGTGTGTGTGCGCGCACACGCGCGTGTGTGTATATTGGGGTGGGACAAAAAAATTCAAAAAATAAAATAAGGAAATGATAAAATTAGTACTGCAGAGAAAACCAGGAATAAGTAAAGGCATCAGTGCACTGATTTAAAAGTCTGTGGGTAGGGGCCAGAGATACTACAATGGGTAAGGCACTTCCCTTGCATGCTCCTGACCCACGTTAAATTCCAACAGCCCATATGGTTTTCTGTGCCCCACCAGGAGTGATTCCTGAGCTTACAGCCAGGAGTAAGTCCAGAGCATCACTTGGGTGTAGCCCCAGAATGAGAGAGAGAGAGAGAGAGAGAGAGAGAGTGTAGCTGAATCATAGAGTTCATGTTTCGTAAGTATGAGCCCTTGGTTCAGTCCCATGCATAGGAAATAAGGGTAGAAAAAAAACATATAGAAGCGGAAGGATGAAAGAAGAATTGGGACGAAAAAAAGGATAGAATAGAAGGAAGGAGGCCGTGTTCAAACCCTAGAGCTACTGCCTGGCACGAGTAGGACTGATCTCTGATACAGCAGTGCTCACTGGGTCTGAGCAGCAGTCCCAGGCTTACCTAACACAAAACTGTCAGAACCATACCGCTGTGCTGAGAATCATTAGGATTTACACCTGGGGTCCCCATGAACAATGCTGGGTGGGGGGACGCAGGGGGAATCTAAGAAGGAAGAGAGAGGAAGGGAAAGGGAGGTGAGAAGGGAAGCCCCTGTAATAGCACTACACGTGAAAGACAGTAATTGAAGCTGACAGCATCGGTAAGTAAACAAATACTTTTTAGGTTAATATAAAGTAGGTATGTAGTCTTAGGGTAACATATAAGGACCCAGATATTCAGAGGAAGGGGGCTCCAAGGTCAGGGAATACTTCTTTGAAGAAAACATGGAGAATGAAACCTTAGAGAAAAGGGATGGTCATGGAAGGGGTCAAAAATAGGAAGGGAGAAATTTTCAGGCAGAAGGATAAATGTGCCAAGAATCTAAGGTGAGAAACAATCTCAGGACATTCAGGAAATTGGAAGTCGGTTGGAAAATGGGAACATGAACTAGAGAATGTGACTTAGCCCTGTCAGGCAGGGTTCTTTGGAAGGATGTGGGAATGAACCTACATGCAATAGAAAGTTCTGGTTTAGTTTACCTGAAGGAAAGAACAGCCAAGTAGCACAGCAGAAATGTATGCAAAAAATGCAATCAGATCTGAGTAGAATAAGATCCAAAAGGACTATTCCAGACAGAAAGGTGGAACAGGGTTAAGACACTTGCCTGCACGTAGCTGATCCCCATTCAGTCCCCCAACACCACATATGGTCCCCTGAACACTACCAGAAGTGACTCCTAAATAAATATATATATATATATGTACATGTATATATTCCTGACTTTTGATAAAGTCATTCGACTCTTAGGTTATCTGAAGAAAATACCCAAATGTAACCCAAAGGGAAACAGTGAATTCATTTCAATTCAGTAGATCCCCTTTTTTGAGAAACTACTCACAGTTGACCAAGCACCGTTTGACCTTGAGGAATCAGAGATAAATGGGCACAAACCCGGACCTCAAGGAGTTCACAATCCTTTAGGAAACCTAAGACAAGTATCAAACTAGCTAACATAAAAATCATATGCTATCGGGCCAAACACATCATACAGCAGAAAGGGTAATCACATTGCAAGCAGCCAACCCAGGTTCAATTCCTAGCACTCCATGTAGTCTCCTAAGTCCCAGCAGAGCACAAAACATGGAATAAGTCCTAAGCACTGCTGGATTTGGCCCAAACAAACAGAAACAACAAAAAATGATACATCACCAGAAAAAAAGCTGATGAAAAGTGATAATAGATTGGCAGCATGTTAGATTTCTCAAAAAGCCCTACGCACTCACAAAATGAAGATAAATACCCCAAAATGCTTCTCCTGGAAATGAAATTAGACCTGGTGACTGTAAATTAAAGAAATTAAAATTTGTTTCTTTGACCCTGACTAGCCTCTGTTTATCATTCTCCTGTCTTCAGCTTTGGACTTAATGTTAAAGAAAAAAAAAAGAGAATAGAGAAAACAAAAGATGTTAGATTTGAGGGAAGAGGACAGCAAAAAAAGACTGAGAAGGGAGTGCCCTATCCAGTGAACTGTGGTTTTCTGTGGGTAGAAGTTTAAGTCTTTGCTGGATTTTGTATGATTCTGTCTTCTGATATGTACCATATTTTTTCAGTGTTGCACATGTATTTCTTTGAAAATATGAGGGAAAGCTATATTTATAGGAAAAGCAAATGTAAGAGCAAACATTATTTTTATTTCACTGGAAAAAAAATTAGTCTTGTGAGCCATCTGGTAGACCCAAGGTTTCATGACACCAGGGGTTATTATACAGAGCTACAGTGTTCAAGGTTTAAGTGTTTATGCACTGTCTCTGGACAAACAGATTTCAAGCCTCACCTGCTGCTGTGTAACTTGACTAGATTGATTAATCGGATCACATTTTGGTCTCATCTCTAAAACTAATTATAGTAGTAATATTTCTTAGGGTGGTTGGAAAAAAAATAAACAGAAATACAATTAAAAGTATGTCAGTGCACATGGTAAGCACTGAATGCACATTCACAGTTATTATTATTATTATTATTATTATTGGTTTTTGGGTCACACCTGGCGACACACAGGGGTTACTCCTGGCTCTACACTCAGGAATCAGCCCTGGCAGTGCTCAGGGGACCATATGGGATGCTGGGAATCGAACCTGGGTTGGCCGCCACGTGCAAGGCAAATGCCCTACCCGCTGTGCTATTGCTCCAGCCCCCACAGTTATTATTAATGCCGGATTCTTGACTTGCTGAGGGCTCTCAGCCTAGTGTTGCTCCAGCACCTCCACTCTCCTTGGGAAACGGGGGATAGCAGCCGGGAGGCCTTGGTCCTAAAATAATCCGGTTTTTTTTTTTGTTTTTTTACATATATTCTTCAGGATGAAGAGGATCTAGCTAACGTCCTGATTTGGCCCGAGATTCATCAGGAGCTGAAAATCATTGAATCTGAGGAGGAGCTCGCCTCCCTGCCTCAGCCCACTCGGCCGACCCACGCACCCCTGCCAGTTCTTGGGGCCTGTTCGAGCCCGGTGGCTTCGGTGGCTTCGCCCAGACCCGAGAGCTCGGCCTCTGGCTCCACCCCAGCTCCAGTCTCCGTCCCTCTGGAGGATGGGTCCAGTCAGAACGCACAGGAAGCTTCTGCAGCAGCCAATAGAGAAGAGCTTGAGATGCCGGGCAGCCCTCCTGAGTCTGAAGCCAAGCCAGGCCCGCGCCCAGATCCCACCAGCCTTCCTCCTCTAGAGCTGGTGGCCTTTGAGTTGGCTTCTCCACAGGTCGGGGCAGAGGAGCGAGACCCGGGGAACCTGTCTCCTCTGCTGCCGCCTGCTGCGCCCCCTCCAACGCCCCTGGAGGAGCTGCCTCGTGTCGACCCACCCAAGGATGGCCCACAGAGAGAAAACGCTTCCTCGATTTTGAGACCAGATCCACATAAAGTCCAGGCCAGCTCCACCGGCAGTCCTGAGCTCCCTGACCTTTGTCCAGCAGAAAGTGAAAAGCAGAGTTCGAAGGATGGTGTTCCTGAGGGAAAAGGCTCCAGCTCTTCAAACGAAATGAGGGAGGCCGAAATCTCTTCCCAGGGAGAGGGGGATGTCGCCCCCTCAGGCCAAGAGCCCTCAGACTGTGATGAAGACGATGTTGTGACCGACGTGGCCCAGCACGGCCTGGAGATGGTGGAGCCGTGGGAGGAGCCCCAGTGGGTGACAAGTCCCCTTCACTCCCCCACGTTGAAGGAGGTGAAGGAAATCCAGCTGCAGGGCCCTCTGGCTCACCGATTGGAGAAGAGGCTTGCCCACAGGCCCAGCCTTCGCCAGAGCCATTCTCTAGACAGCAAAACCATGGTGGTGAGCCACTGGACTCTTGAAGGTTCGGCCTTCAGCAGCTGTGCTAATCTTGACGCAGAGAGGATTTCTGACCCTCTGCAGCTCTTGGCGGCCAGGAAAGAAAGTACTGGATGGGATGAGATGATCTTGAGGTCGTTCAGTGAGTTCTCTGTTCTGAAAGGAATGCAGGCCCTCCCTAGCCAGAAAGGACCAGGTGATCTGCAGCCCACAGCAGCAGGAACCAGTCCTGTCGGCCTAGCAGAGGGAAAGGAGCTGGGGGTCCATCTGGGGCACAACAGCCCTCAGACTGGGCAAGGTAGTGGTCCTGGGCCAGATAGCAGCCAGGAGAGCTCACTGAGTGTTAAGAACAGCACAGCCCCCAGAGAACACCCGCTCAAGTTACAGCCGAAGAGCACCGAGTGTGGACCTCCCAAAGGGAAAAACAGGCCTTCTTCCCTCAACTTAGACTCTGCCGTCCCCATCACTGACCTCTTCCGGTTTGAAAATGTGGCCTCATTTGTTTCACCTGGAATGCAACGCTCTGAGCTAGGGGGCCCAAAGGGCGCGTGGATGACCTCCTCTAACTGTCAAGGAGACCCCTGGAAGGTTTACTCCCAGGACCCTCAAGATCTGGACATTGTTGCTCATGCCCTGACAGGCCGCCGTAACTCTGCTCCCGTGAGTGTGTCAGCCGTGAGAACCTCCTTTATGGTCAAAATGTGCCAGGCCAAGGCAGTGCCAGTCATTCCACCTAAGATTCAGTACACACAGATCCCTCAGCCCTTACCCTCGCAGAGTGCAGGAGAGAACGGGGCTCCGCCTCCCGAGAGGAGCCAAGAGGAAGGCAGCTCAGCTGGGGGCCCTTCTCAGAAACCTCCTCAAGATGATGCTCGGTCCTCCCTGGAAAGCCCGAAGGAAGACAAACCAAAGCAAGAGAAGGGAACCAACGAGCCATTGCCAGTGGACGCCCCAGCCTCCCGCATGTGTGAAGGACCGAGCCTTTCCCCAGAGCCAGGCTCGGCTCACCTGCTGTCCACCCAGGACACCGTTGTGCAGTGCAGAAAGCGCACCTCAGAGACAGAGTCACTTGGGGACAACCTTCTTTCTTCAAAAATGGAACGACCCTCAGGGGCTTCTAAGCCTTTCCACAGGTCAAGGCCAGGGAGACCTCAGAGCCTCATCTTATTCAGTCCTCCTTTCCCCATTATGGACCACCCACCCACCTCCTCCACAATGACAGATTCCAAGGTTCTGCTGTCCCCAATCAGAAGTCCAACCCAGGCAATTTCTCCTGGCCTTCTCTGCGGGGACCTGGCAGAAAACACATGGGTCACGGCGGAAGGAGTCACACTTAGGAATAAAATGACCATCCCTAAGAATGGCCAGAGACTGGAGACCTCAACCAGCTGTTTTTACCAGCCCCAGCGGAGATCAGTGATTCTGGATGGAAGAAGTGGACGGCAGATTGAATGACACCAGTTCACCTGCTGTATTTGAAAAAATGCCAGGATTCATCTGGAAGCTCTCAAGGGCTAAGTGAATACAATTCCAGCCATAGGTTACCCAACTTTAGATTTGTTTTGGCCTTCTAGCCTGTCTTCAACCTTTAGCCCTTTATTAATTAGCCCGTTTGCCGCAAGAAGGCCCAGGGAAGGACCAAGTGATGAGATTCAGATGATGAACAGGGAGGAGGTCAGCCGGGGAGGAGGATGGCATACGTGAGATACGGGGCTTGTTTGTGAGTTGCATTAACTCCCCCTTAATCTTGACCATAATCTTTAACTTCTGGGAGTGGCTGGTATTTTTTAAAAGAAAGAGAAATGCCCTTTTTCTGTTGCTCTTGAGCCTCCCCTTTCACCACGTGCTTCTTAATGCTCTTCAAAGCATGGATTCTTTTAGGCCCGTTTTTTGACTAGCTTTATAAGCGCACTATCCAGAGTAGAAAAAGATTTGGAAATGCAAACTAACACACATTTAGCCAGCTAAGTGGGTGCCTTTAACCCATGCTCATTTCCTGAATCCCCCCAGACCCATTCCGGATAGAGCCACATACCAGCAGAGAAAATCAGGATCTTTATTCAGGAGCCAACTTGAAGGTGCCCACAGCTCCAGATGTCTGGTTCTGGCTTTTATCACTTTGAGACTCCAACCTCCACCTCTCCTGATCTACGGCTTCCACCTCCAGTAGCTGAGCAGCAGGGTGGTGGCTGAGCAGGAGATGGATGCCGGGAGACGTGTTGCGTGAGGAGTGACATGATCTGTTCTGAGTCCATGAACAGGATGTCATTGCAGAGAAAATGACATTCCCCACGCATGGGCTGTACTCCATATTTTATGTGTTGAAGTTGTTGGGGCATTAGCAGCAAACACCCTCACTCAGCTTCATTCTCTTTCCCAAGTATGCTGGCACCAGTGGCACAAGACCGGGTAAGGGAGAAGGCCCATCAGGGGAGGAGGGGAGGAGTCTTAGTCAGGGCGATCAGGGAGGGTAGAGTGGCCCTTCTTGAAATGTGTTTCACTTCAGCCAGTGATTGCCTTCCGGTCTCTCTCCTAACACTGCTGAAGAGCAGATTTGAGAGACCCGTCTTGATTCCAGAATCTCCCTCACCCACCATCCACTCCCAGCACTCAAACTTGCCCTGCTCCTATCTCTGTGTTAACAGAAGCAATAAACAATCTGATTGTGTTTTAGTTATTTAGAATTTTGGGTGTTCTCTCCCTTTTTTCTCTTTCCCCCCAGCTCAAGAGGGGAAAGAATTCATATGACCTACTGGCAGTTTTGGTGCTCCCCAAATTAGCCTTCCTGGGAACTCTTTTCAAATCAAAACCCTCAGGGTATCACTTTTCGATCTTGCAATAAAGAAAATTAGAACCTATATTTAGCCTTTTTCTTGGGTTCAAGTGAACTGAACTCTGTCTAGAAGCTCCATCGTTGTAAGTATTTCTCTATAGGGGAGCTGTGCTTCTGGGCAGCCCGCATCTAACCAAGGCTGGTGCAGGGCCAGGTGAGGCTAAAGCTGATGCCCTACAACAGATGCCTGGTCCTCCATCCTTTTTCCCCGGATAGTTTTGAAATCAAATCCCTGACCTTTTTCAGTTTATGGCAGAGATCACTGCAGGCCAGCTGATGGGTTCTGCCTGTACAGAGGGTCCTGAGTGAGCAGGAAGTGGGTGGGTGAGGAGGAACAGGGAGACTGTTACTAGGCCTTTGATCAGTAATTCTGCATTCACATCAGATAACCAGAACTTTGGATCAACCACCAATAAGATGTCAGTCCTATGATAAGTGCTAGGGATATAGGTATTTTCCCCACTAGGCAAGCAAGGTAAAGAAATTAGTGGTGACAGATGAGAAAAGCCATGTTCAGAGGATTTGAGATGCACATTCCTGCCTTATCAGAAAATGTGGGCAGACAGGCTTCATGTCAGTCTCCATACACTGTGGTGTCTGTGTTTGAGAGACCATGCTTCAGTTGGAATATGAGAGGGAAGAACTGCACTTTGCTTCATAATTCTGAGCCAAGTAATGAAAGACTGAAACTACTTTATGGTATTTTAAAAGTTTTGCTGATGAGTCTTGGGGAATGTATTTTCATTTGGGCAGTAGTTCTTAGAAGCTACCAATAACACATCAACAGGTGAATTCAGTTCTGAGTTGAGGCGCCTATACTGATTTGTTAACTGGCAGCCACCTTTTTTTAGGAGTCCGACATCTTTCATTTGTTGCAGTGTCTGTAGGAGCATGGGAATGTGCCTGTCATAAGACACAATGACAATTGTTTGGACATACTCCCTACCAGGAGCTTTCCTAGTCAATCCAGGCCTTGAAGCTGATTCACCTCAGTCTATGTCCCACTGCTGCAGTGTGGGCCTCGCATAGGCCCTGTTAACTCTCGGTTGTCACAAACACCTCAAACTTCCTGTGGGCTGTGGTTAGCCTGATGCTGATGAAATTCCATCAAAGAAAACATTTCCATCTAGACCCCCAGGTACTGTGAGTTTACCTCTTGGGTCACCCACTTGAAACTGAAAAATTAAGGCTGAGAATTGGCTACATGGGAATCAGATCATGTTTCCGTAGTGGGGGGTGGGAGAGAGCATTTGTGCTGTTCTTAGGAGGATCTACCCAACCCTCAAAGGACTCCTTCAGAGCAACTCCATGGATCACTTCTCAAAATGGGAATAGCTAATGTTAAATATTAAATTTGAATTCAAATGTCTTTCTATATTGATGGTTGCTTAAGAAGACCATCTAGGACAAAATGACCCTCCAGACAACTTATTTCACCAACATGCAGTAGGTGAAGGGAATTTTATTTTTACCCTCCGCTTCACATAGAAAATGAAGAGATCTGACCAAGAACCCTATTGATATGCTTGTTCTAAGCATTCAAATTCCAAAGTCAAAATTTTAGGTCTGGGAAAATAAAAAATGGGAATATCATCATCCCTACCAAATAAATGTGTACCAGCATCCTACTACTAGTCCTCTACATAGCTCACTCCTCTCTTCCTCCTAAGAGACTGATGAGAAAGGGGAGAGGCGGGAGAATGTCGTGAACAGGCTATAAGCCAGGAGCCAGATTTAGAACCACTAAGTTAGCAGATAAAGTTAAGAGAAGTGGAGCACATACCGACTTTGAAGTACATCATTATTACTGTTCAGAAAAAGCTGCTGCTTCTAATCAACTTAAATACAATTATAACTCCAGTAGAAAGTACCAGTGAGAAGCTCCTCGAGAATTCTGCTTTCATCATTAAAAATGGGCAACTAAGAGTATATGCTCGAGCGAGCCCGGCAAGCTACCGAGAGTATTCGGTTGCCAGACACAGTAACAACAAAGTCTCCAATGGAGACGTTACTGGGCCCGCTCGAGCTCGAGCAAGAGTATATAGTTCTGAGGATTTGTGTGGTTTCGATTGGAGTAGTTGTGAAGTTGTTGAATTTCTGTAAAGGGGCCAGGCAGTATGAGTATTCCCACTGAGACAGAGGTTGAGACTTCCATCGTTACATGGATCAACTCCAGCAATGTCACAGGTCACAGGTTCCTGCCCCATAATCCACATTTTTTTTTTCACTCTCAAGTCTGGTGTTTCAGCACATGAGAATTTGAATAAAATTGGGTGGACAGTCATTGTTCTACACAGGTCTTGTGTTTCTGCTGTGAGGGTCATGGGGAATATAAAACTTGTTTTTCTAGTACTGAAATAAGGTTCACAGTAGGTCCAATTTCCAGCAGAAATGATTAATGAAGGCCACACCCATATCCTATCTGATAACACCATTCATCTAGGGGCTAAATGTTGCAAAGAGTACAACACTGACAGGAAGATCGGCTGAAAATGTGGAATGATAAAGTGTGTGTCTCTTGTCATTATCTTTTTCAAGGATAGAAGAGAGTGAGCACCTTTTCAGACATGAAGAGTCAGGGAGATGTTTAAGGTGATAGCTGAGATCATTCTTAGTCCAGTTAGTAGAAAATTGGAGATCAATGATCGGTATACGGCAGGTCATTTAGTAGCCTGATGATTCAAAAACATCGCAGGGATCACTTCTCTGAGGAGAAATGATATAGCTTCTTTCCTCTTTCATTAGAAACCCATGAAGTACATAGCCATGTGTTTTACTGGATAGATCATGCTTCGTAATAATGCTACCAGACTTCCTGACTTAAAATTCTGCAAGAAAAAGCACTTTTTCCAAGAAGTCTGTTAGAGAGCTACGTGGTTTCAGCTGTTTGTTGAGCTCAACAAATGTTTCCAAAGATGATAATCAAAATGTTTTTCTATTGACTAAAATATATATATATTAAACCTTTCATGGAGACATTAAGTGTAATTAAAATAGATTGTTATGCTTATAAATGTATTCTAATAAATGATATAAAATACAATGCTTATGGTGGCACAGTGAACTGACTGGAGGAGGGCATGAAGGGCATCCAAGTCAACAACAGAACCCAAACTCTTTCTCTAATTTCACGTCCAGGTTCGGTCTCATAGCAAAAGGCCTGATGACTTGCCTGATGGTCTCCTTGACCATAGGGGTTACTTCTGATCAGAGCTAGGAATTGCCCCTGAGCACCGCTGGGTGTGGACCAATTCACCCTCCCTCAAAAAAAGGAAAAATTTTACATTTTACTTACTGTATTTTCACAGTTCACCCTCTTACTGCTGCAGTCACACCCGAGATAAATGGATGGGAAACGAGAAAAGAAATGAAAACTGAGAATTACTCTTCAAAGTTCTGCTGCTTTGGGTCTATAATGTGCACAAGTGTGAACTTAGTTTTCCTATCAACTGAATCAGAGGGAACTTGTCTTTCAAATGATGTTAATGATGCTGGGATTGGGGGGGGGGGACCAAAACTCTCCTTTCCTGCCATCTACTATAAAGAGAGGAGAGGGAGGGGATAAACGAGAATATCCAACCCAGTGTCCTTTGAGTCTTAATGCAAGGGGAGTCAAGTACGACCATTTGGACAATATTTTATTTAGAACCTGACACCACCACCAGTCAGACCTGCCCGCCACTCCTACGGCCTCAGGGTCCTGGATGCCCACATTCCCATCTCTCAAGCACCCCTGCTCCCAGTGCAGGGTTCCACTCATCTTTCTTTCCTGCAGTTCCACAAGCACCCTCTCCTTAGAAAATCCTACAGCCTGTCTCTTCACTGCATGCCGATTTTTCTCTCTTAAAGCAGCACACTGGTTTAAGCGTGTCTGCCAGACCACCATTTTCTCTTGACTGCCTTGTCATCAAAATGCTTGCTAGCCCAAAGAAGCCTGTCTTCAAGATCCTACAAGAACTGCAACAGCTCCTCACCCCTTGCACTGTCTTTTCTAAGAGATCGTTTCTGATATCTCACTTCCACTTTAACCCCAAACGACCACTATCGGTGAGTTGCTGCTAGACTATTGCCAAGATTGTTTCCCTAAGGGAGTAGGAAGAGAGGAAAACTAAGGAAGACTACTTAACTAAGGGCTTGCCCATTCTTTCAGCCTGTGTTTTTGGCCTGCAAATCTGGCTCACACAGCTTAGGCACTAATCTCCCACATCTCCTTCTTCCACTCACTACCTCTCCCCATCATGAGTGCATATGCTCTAAAGACTATCTTGAATCTTTTCTAATTACTACCGAACGAGGGGCTGGAGCGATAGCACAGCAGGTACGGCATTTACCTGGCATGTGGCTGACCAGGTTTAATCCCCAGCATCCCATATGGTCCCCTGAACAGCACTAGCAGTAATTCCTCAGTGCAGAGCCAGGTGTAGCCCATGAGCATCGCCGAGTGTGACCCAAAAAGCAACCCCCAGGCCCCCCGCCAAAAAAAAAAAAAAACCAGCTAATAAACGATAAGAAAACATAAGGAGGCAAAAGAAACAATTAACATGGGGCCAGAGATCGTACTGTGGGCGAGGTGCCTTCTTTGCATGGGGCCCAACCTGGTTTGGATCCCCAGTATTGCATAAGGTCCTCCAAACTTTGCTAGGAGAGGTCTCTGAGCACTGCTGTATGTAAACCACCACCCCCACCAAAAAAGAAGAACAGAAAAAAATAACTTTCAGGATAGTGGCTTAAGATGTCCTAAGGCAGGAAAGAAGAATGAGTTCCTATCAGAAATGCAACTTCTTTAACCGCATCTTACCCCTATGTATTCCAATACCATAAGTTAACAGACGGAAATGGGTCCTATTGAGC